GAGCCGTTGATCACAACTCTTTGAGTGCAACTGACCAGCCAGTTCCTTATCCACCAAGTGGTCCATCCATCAAATCTGTGTCTCTCCAATTTAGAGACCAGGATGTCGTGCAGGATATTTGTTGCTTTCCCCTTATCCACCAACGCTGTAATGTCATTGTAGAAGGCCACCAAATTTGTCAGGCACAATTTGCCTTTGGTGAAGCCCTGTTGACTGTCACCAATCACCTCCGTATTTTCCATGTGCCTTAGAAGAGTTTCCAGGAGGATCTGCTCCACGATCTTGCTGGGCACAGAGGTGAGACTGACCAGCCTGTAGTTCCCCAGGTCTTCTTTTTCACCTGTTTTAAAAATGGGGGGGTTCTGCCCTTTTTAAAAGGGGGACACAATTTCTAGGGATGTTGTTGAGAAGCAGGGGGAAGCAGCAGTTGGAAGCATTTTGGTGAATTTCTGTGTGCAGACATCAAAGAATCTGTTACACAAACACGAATTTTTGGCTGCAGCAGTTACAAGCTTCACTAGTAGCAGCAGCAAACAACATATCAAGTGAAGAACAGAAGGATGACTTTCTATTTGCCTCATTATGTGTGTGTTATTACTCCAGCCATAGCCACACAGAAAAATAGACAATTGAAGTAGTGGTATGACATCTTTGCTGATGAATTCTGTAGAGAATACTAACAGTGGTAACATAGTAGAATCACTATTAAAATATTGTCTCCAGTTCTACTCTTCATTTCAAGAAGGGTATAAATACATAAAGGAAAATTTACTGAAGAGTTGATCTTTCTAGTGACTATTTGAACTTATCTTTGGGGACAAATTCTACCCAGTGTTCAGGCAGCAAGGTAGGGTGGCTGCTGTGTTAAGTCTAACCTGTGAATCTCTAACTTTGAATGCTCCTGCATAAGCCCATCTTCCCTGGAACCTGCAGAGAAGAGGAAAGTGCATTGCCCTCAATCTGCCCAGAATCTAGCAGCTCTGCATTAAGGTAATGTCTATTATCAAAATCAGCTTGGCCTGTCTTGCCTTAGCTCCATGGAACCACCAAGTAGATCACTGCAATGGATTTGCCCAAACAGCTATATTTTCCTGAGGAGTTGCCAAAACACCTCTATGGCTTTTTCAAAAGTCTCTGTAGATCAATAAAATCACTTACTGAGTTGATACCTTCACATATTTTCTCTGGAACTGGCAAAGCAAAGAGCCTGAAGTTGTGCCACCACATTCGGCTCTGAAACCACTCAATATCTTTATCCAAATATTTATAATGGATGGGAGTACTGAAGAAACTCTCAGAAAGAAATCTGACATGATGTTGTAGAAGTTACAGAGGACTCATCATTTTTTGCCCAGGGGTGGATAGATAAGAAATCATTTGTTAATTTGCAATAATTTGTCAGTCTATTGTACAGAGAGACCAGAAGCTCGTACCCAAAATAATACTGACTGGTATAGACTCAGACTCCCAGATAATACAAATGGCTGTTGATTAATGTGGGTAAATCCTGTTTAGCCATAATATTTAAATTTGAAAATGATGTGGCTACTGCCATGGCATCACAGCGTAATTTAGATTGGATTGGATCTCTGAAGTTCAACTAATCCAACTCAAGGCAGATCCACCTTCAAAGGTAGGTTCAACCTTGAAGCTAGATCAGGCTGGTCAGTGTCTTGTCCAGTCAAGTTCTGAATTTCTCCAATGCCACAACATCTCTTCGTGATTTGTTCCAAAGTTTGTCCACCCTCACTGTGGATTTTTTTCCTAATGTCTAATCAGAATTTTCCTTGTTGGAACCTGTGCCTGTTGACTCCTATCTGTTTTGGTTCTCACTTCTCTACAACCACCCACTGAGTAGTTGAAGTCAAATTAAGATCCACACTTTCATCTTCACAAGAACAAACCGGTCTTTCATCATTTCCTTGTATGTCACGTGCTCCAGCATTTTGGTTGCCCTCCACCAGACTTGGTCCAACATGTTCACTGTTTTGAGGAGCCCAAAACCAGATGATACTCCAGTTGCATTAATTTGCAACAGATGTGGAATTTGATTCTTAATCATTTATGACTATCACTTAGTGGTAGAGCTCTGGAAAGCTGTGGTTGAATTACTAAAACCTCAGATAAACTGGGATACTATGTGCCTGTTTAAACCAAAACTTAGACTATTTTGTATTTCCTGCTATATTTCTGTATCATTCTTGCTGTTGATGAAATGCAAGGTGGGCAATGACATTTTTATAATGCTACTAAAAAATATTAATACCTATGAATTTGTGAATTCAGCAACTGTTCAGCTACTAAAACAGAAAAGAGTTATCCAAACCTAGTGGCTGGCATAGAGTTAATTTTATTCATAGCAGCTAGTATGGGGCTATATTTTGGACTTGTGCTGAAAACAGTGTTGGCAACCCAGTCACTGCTGAGCAGTGCTTACACACAGTCAGTGCCTTTTCTGCTTCTCACACCACCCCACCAGCAAGTGCGCTGGGGGCGGGCGAGAAGTTGGGAGGGGACACAGCCGGCACAGCTGAGCCCAACTGACCAAAGGGACATCCCACACCATATGGTGTCTTGCCTCAGCATATAAAGCTGGGGGAAGAAGGTGGAAGTGGGGGAGCGTTCGGAGTGATGGCGTTTGTCTTCCCAGGTCACTGTTACGCGTGGTGGAGCCCTGCTTTCCTGGAGGCAGCTGAACACCCGCCTGCCGATGGGAAGCAGCGAATGAATTCCTTGTTTTGCTTTGCTTGTGTGCGTGGTTTTTGTTTTACTTATTAAACTGTTTTTATCTCAACCCATGAGTTTTCTCACTTTTGCTCTTCCCATTCTCCCCCATCCCAACTTCAGGGAGAGACTGGCTGTGTGGTGCTTAGTTGCCGGCTGGGGTCAAACCATGACACTAACAAACATTTCTTGCTACAGAGCTATAGAGATATATTTGAAACCACCCCCTGGATGATCCAAGCACACAGGAGAATGGTGTTTTGTTTCCAGGAGGTAGTACTTCACAACCGTTAAGGTCTGTCAATCTGTCATATGTAAAAACCAGAACAGTCAGCGAACACTTACTGAGAACTGCAGCCAGCTCGAGAGCCCAGGACAGGAAAAAGAGAATTATGACATTATTTTCTATAGCTATTTACAATTCATTTAATACTTCCATGTTGAAGTGTAGGAGTTCGACATTTGTTTCACTCGACTGGTTATATTCTAAAATGTAGTCAATGCTGCCATCTAATGGTATCTGATGGATGAACAAAAGCTGTCAGATCATAGAATCATAGAATCGTCTAGGTTGGAAGGGACCTTTAAGATCATCAAGTCCAACCATCAACCTAACACTGCCAAAACCACCACTAAGCCATGTCCCTCAGCACCACGTCATTCCAGCTCACACCGAACAGAATAAATTGTTTCACCTCAGAAGCATCACTATGCACTGCAGGCACAAAGGCAATCCACACTGGGTAGGAGCAGGTCTCAGGCAGACCCACCAAGTCTCTCCGCATCCCACTGCCCCGTGCTGGTGACAGTGCAAATTTCTGAGTTACCCTAAGAGGTCTGCGGACATTCTTTGTCAACTTTTTTTCTGAACAGAAACTGGTTCTGGAATTAATAAAGCCAGTTCAAACCATACTGTATCTGAACTCTTTTAACTCTTAGCTTTCCTGTGCCTGTATTTGTCCTACAAATAGCTTAGATTTGGCTGTATCTGTCATATTTAAAGAGTATTAAACAAAGGAAATGACAGTAAAAATTGAGTATTTACTTTATTGTTCCTGCTATTCTTGGCCTGAAAATGCTAAATCTTTTCTAATTCCCTGTTAAAAGTAAAACATTTTCAATTTTCTTGTGTTAATAGCTATTTTGGGGAAATATATTACTGTAGTCCTGCCCCTCTAATACCAAATTATGTCCCGTAATAAACTGAAACCGAAGATGCCTCCCCAAAACCAGACAAAAATGCGTTAAGCATCTGAACTCTTTATTGAAGAATCTAAAATAGCCCTATTTCATTAGTAGTTCTGAGGCCACTGTGACACTTCACCTGACCAACATAAATTGCAAGAAACCCGTAAAAGCAATATTAATACACATTGTTCACACATGGTTGGGTTTTTTTTTTAGAGCCAATGAAATAAATACTTCCTCTAACTTTAATAAATGTGGTCTCATACAATATACCACAAACTCGTTTTCCGGTTACTAAGTAATACTTTCTATAACATTTTGATGAATTACAATGATAAAATTTTATATATGATAATTCTTAAAATTTTCTGCAAACAATACCTCTTGCATAACATCCTTTGATTTTGTTAACCATTATTATCACAATTTTCATACACTGAAGGATACAAAGAACAAATTATATATAGCTTTCAAGCACAGACACCTGAAGATGCCACGTGAAATTCATTTAGTTGCACATGTAAACACACCTCAAAATTCTTCAACGTAAACAAATCCATCCAAAGGCACTAGGAAGAAGGTGGATCCAAACAACATAGAAATTAGTGGCTGATTATACTAAAGTGTCTTCAGTGAGGTCTTTCACAGAAAATGCAGTTATTTTTTAATTTTGCTACAATAACCAATTTTTCCAACCAGGCTTTATCTCTAAAGAGATCTACATTGTTGTACAGACTTTTGTGCTTATAGATCATATTACAGCTCCAGCTGATCTTTTACCGATTTCTTCTGTAAACATGGAAATATGAAGTAATACAAAAAATTACAGTTGTAAAAATTAACTCGCCTACTCCAGAAGCTGAGGAAAAAGAAAAATCTGTGGTTTGATTTTGCTCTAATATTTATGACACAGTTGTTCAAATCTTAATTGTTTAAAGAGCATTTGCAAAAGACTGAACTATCACAATACTGAAAGACTTCAATCATTATTCTAAATTTACAGTATTATGCTCCAGAATCAACCTATTTTCTCCACCTGGAAACAACTGATAGCAGTTTAATCAAAAATGCTGCAGCCTGGGGCAACCTTATGTGTCCACATTATCGCTATCTGTTTCAGCAATACCATCATAAAATAAAGGGAGAGATATGGAAGACGTAGTCCGTGATTTATCTAGCTTCCTACCATTATTTTCATTAAGCATTGATGCAATAAGACTTTCCTTCTCATGTGTTTCCTCAAAGATAGCACTGTTAGAATGTTTATGACGGTACAAGAAAGATTTATTTTTAAAAGAACGCTGCATCAAATACCTCCTGAAGGCCCTCTGAATAACAAGAGCCGATACCTCCTCTTGTTTTCTTTTAAGGGTAGTAGTAATTGGCTTGTAAGAAACTTTAGATGGATTGGCAGCCATAAATTTTTCTTCTATTTGTAATTCAAGACCATCCAAATTTCCATATTTGCCCAAGACCCTTTTAGTGAAAGCAAGCAAGATATCCAAGCAGTGGATCTTATCTCCACTAACTATAGGGAGGTCCATGGATATGAGCTGAATTTTATTAGGCTTTGGAATGCGTAAGGGTTCTGCCAGAGCATCTGCAAAGTCTGAAAGAGCAGAATATTCAATAAACTGTGTTGCCTGAGGATCAAATATTCCCCAGGTCTCGTAAAACATGTCAAAGTCATCCTCACAAAGAGGATCTGTGCTTTCTTCAGTGGCAACACTGAAGTTCTCTAAAATGACAGCTATGTACATATTTACAACAATGAGAAACGATACAATGACATAGCTTACAAAAAATAAAATACCAACCTCCTTATTTGTGCAATTTTTTTTCTGTTCGCTTGTTAAATTTAAGTTGGGAGCACATGAAACAGGTGTTTTTAACAGAGGGACCAAAAGACCATCCCAGCCAGCTGATGTTGTAATTTGGAAAAGACAGAGCATGCTACTATCAAAAGTTTGAAAGTTGAAAAGGTTATCTATCCCACCCTCCCAGCCAAGACAGGCAAAGTTTGTCATGCCCACAATGGCATAAATGAACATGACCAGAAAAAGCAAAAGACCAATGTTGAACAGTGCAGGAAGAGACATCAGTAATGCAAAAAGAAGAGTTCGAATTCCTCTAGCTTTTCGAATTAACCTCAGGATTCGGCCAATTCGTGCCAACCGAAAAATTCTCAGAAGTGTAGGAGACAAAAAAGTTCGGAAGCCTTCAGAAAGTCCAATACCTTTGAAATGAAAAAGAGCACAAAATGTTGTCAAGCCATATCAGTGAAATTCCCTATTTATGTCTATTTTGTTATACTCTATGCTTCAGGTGTTAAAAGTAACATTGATCACATTACATCATTTTCAACAAAAACATTATCATCACTTATGCAATTGCTTACAAAAGAGCTGGAGAAAAGAAAGAGAAATTGTAATACCTTTAAATATTAAAGAGGTATCAAGATTATGGATAAGTGGTAAACTGCATTCTCTCAGATTTCACTAATTCAGGGGATGAAATTACACATTTCTCCAGTACTTAAAAAATCCTTTTAAATCCGTTCAGCTCCTGTGCTGGAAGCTATGGGCCTTGTCACCTAGCTGCTGTCTGATTCCCGCTTCATCTACAGGCCTAAGCCACGTGCTAAACGTGAGACTTTCATTAATGCGTGGTACTTGAATGAGATCAGAGAAGAGCAAGAAAAAAACATAGGAAAACTATCTTTCGTTATTCGTCCTTCATCACACCTTGTTCTATGATCCTGTTATCAGCATAACAAGTACCTTCAGCCATAGGTTAGGAATGTAAACGATTACAAACAGGAGACTTAACAAGTCAGCATTTTTCTGGGTTGCACGGGTTAGCAAAGGGGTACTGTGCTTAGGCATGAAGCAGAGAACTAAGATCAGTTTTTCTTTCCTGTCCTTTATTCTATGACATAACCTGAGCCTGAGTGGCAAGCAAGCACAGACCAAATAAATTGTACAATAAACTAAAGCTATATATGACCCTTTGGAGAGGAAACAAAAAGCGTTTGTCTTATTTGAAAAGCAATACAAAACCAAGCCAGTTTTAATAAGACTTTTCACAGTCACAAATAATGGCCCAGATTTAGAATGGTGCTGAGCAATTAAATTTTCCTGAACTTTCGATATCAGCCCTCAGGATCTACCTTCTTAAAAGGAAGTCCTGGAAAACAAGATAAATCTTTCTCGGTTTTCATACAAATGTATTTTTCACCTAAATTTACTTTTACTGTGAAACAACAGTTAATGTGATTACATGTAAGTCAAAACCATAAAACCATTAAAGACAACAGTTCAAGTACAATAACTTAGAAGAGATGTTACTGCATTGTTAATTACTCAATAAAACTCATACTTTAAAAAAAAACCCTTAAAATTTACCTCTTAGTAGTCTGCAAAAATATAAGGAAAAACAAAAATATATCCTTTTAGAAGGGATCACTCAGCATATAGTTTGAAAAAATACAATGGATCAGGAATTATTTTTTTTTTATGAGATATATGTAAGTGGTTACTTCATACTGAAATTTGGCTTAGTATTGGTAAGACACTTTACCTGATCTAATAATAAGTGATACTTACTAACTAGTGAAAGGACCACAACAGCTAAATCAAAAATGTTCCAGCCACTGGTGAAGAAGTAATGTCTCAGGGCTAGTATTTTTATGACACATTCCCCAGTAAATACAGCCACAAAAAAATAGTTGATTTTATTGAGAACTTCCTTGATGTTGTCCTGGTTACTTTCTGCCATCATAATGACCATATTTAGACAGATGAAAGTCAGAACGGTGATGTCAAATGCTTTGTGCGATACTATATCAAACAGTAACCCTTGGAACATATTCTGTGGAGAGAACAAGAACTGCTTAATACTACTTCTAAGACCAAGGTTACATTCAAATATTAATTAGTAGTTTGTGCTTAGAAAGAGAATTTAAGAGAATATAAATTTAACAAAAAGCTAGGAGAAGCATAGTTATGTGATTTCTTTAGACCTTCAAAGAAAACACTCAGTTCTTGGCTATGTGTTTTCAGGTTATCATGCAACCACATTTTCTTAGCAAAAAAATTATACAGCAGGAAAACATTGAGAGTACATTTTGATTGCTCTTTTAATAGAAATACTTATTGAAGCAGACATTTTAGGATAACCAATTCTAATTAAAATATCATAAGCAAGAAAAACTCTGAATAGTTACTATGTGAAGCCAGACCTGGAATTCAGTTTAAGAAATGATAAGAAATCAAGCAGAAGATTATTTAAGAGTAAATAACAGCCATAGGGTATGTACTACTCACTATTCATTCTCACCTGCAATAATCTAATCTAGTTGCAGAAGAAATATCATGCAACTTAAGCAACCACGATCATGTCACGAATAGCAAATACTTAATATGAACCTTTATAAATAGGTTGTACCTTTGAATAGGTGATAATAGGCTGTAAATTTCCTTAATTAATACCCATGAAGAAGACTGCATTAGATAGAATTAAGAAAAAGAGAGCAAAATAGAAAAACTGTATTGAATGAAGAAGATGATGGGCTGTAATGTAAAGTTTATTTCCAGATGCCTGGCTACATCTTTTATGATCTTCTATCATATTCTGCTTAAGATGGTCTCACCAATGGTCTTGGGGTGGGTTTTTGAGGCTTCTTGGATCCCAGTTTTTTTAGGGCATTATAGTACTTTTTCTGTTCCTCGGTCAAAAAGAGATCTTTTCCACCTAAGTAAAAGGAAAGAATACTGTTGTTCAGCTGAAGTTTAGGCAGTCATCTGAATAAACATGAGAAAGTTTGTTAAAAAAAAAAGTAAGTTATAGCTGTCGTGAGTCAGGATCTAAGAGAGCACATAGACAAAATATGTCTTCACCATTTTTCCTTTTCCCCTTGTTCTTTGAAGAGATGTAATGCAAAAAGCTGATCAGGGTTTGATCATGCAAGTTTGGCCTAGGCATTGTTCCTGAGTCAGTTTCCTAAACTGCGAGAGACTTACTGAAGTTTTACAAATCTATTTTGTATTTTTAAAATGACATAAGACTCATCAACAAGCAATATACTTTGCATTTATATTTTGGGGAAAGGTTTGAACCGAAGCATATTGCAAGTAAATGAAGGATTATGAATAAGCACTTTGGGACCAAGTTATATGGGAGATTCCTGGTACTGAATTTCTGGTACTCATCTTAGTATCACCTACAGCACCTGTATTACTTAGCAATCACTTCAAACCGAGTATACACAAGAAGCCAATCATCATAAAAGCACTGAATGATTAGCATTTTGTAAAACAAACATGTAACAATGTTCAGTAGGGCATCTGCACTTTGAATCACTCTTGCAAGACCTCTGAAAATTCAGTTTAACTTCACTATATGTAACCTCAATGAAAATCCACAAGAAGCAGCAAAGTAATGAAAAAGAAAAAAAAATGCACACAGAGCAGGTACTGAGAAAAGAAAAAAGAGTCACATCCACATGAACTTCTAGTAAGTGTTCAGGCTTATGAGCTACTTAACTGGCATTGTTTCTGTTTGTTGTGATTATTGTAACTGGGGCTCTTTTATAAAGGAGATTAAGTACATCTCCAAAGCAGAACAAAAGAATTCCGCTCTCCTGTAACAAAGTCTATATAAGTTTTTTTTGGCCTCTCTTTTCTAAAACTACTCTAAGAGTCAATCAGAAGACCAGTATTGTCTCAACATTGTCATCAGTGACTAGACCCCAAAACCTGGACTAACATCTTGACATGAGTTTGCCGTGGCTCGCTGATCTGGCTGTTATCAGATGTGGAAACCTTGGAGAAGGGACTGAGGTACGAACAGTGTCATTACCATGGTATGAAGGTACAACCAGTGTCGTTACCTGGTACGAGTTTATTTTAGTGAAGCAGCAAAGCGAAGAAAACAGCATAACTGCTGTCAAGGAAGATGGATCACACTTGCTGTGCGAGCACCGACAAGGAAATCTTGAACCTCAGTCGAACTTTCCTCATTATAATGTCATTTTAATATAAAAGCACTCCTCCTGGTAAGAAGGTACCTGCCTCCAAAGCTGACCACACCTCAGACACTCCTCTCTCTGGGCATGCGTGGAAGCCTTACTCCAGAGAGGAGGAGATTGGCACATTTCCACAAGACAGAGGTGGAGCGGAGGTGGGTCCAAGGAGGAGCAAGGTGTGCTACCTAGCATAAAAGATGGTTCCTTAGTAACTGAATTTTGAAGATCTTCCCCACCAAGAGAACACGACGATCGAAGACGCAGCAGCGCAACGCCTTCTGGATTTGGGACGATAGTGATGCCTGTGGACCCGTGGTGGTAGCTATTATCCTCTTTCCCCCCCTTTTTTACCTCATCTTTCCTATTCTTCCTTTCTATCACATGCCGCTTCATGGGCAGAACCATTAAAGTAATTGTGTGTTGAAAGCATAACTCCCTGAGCTTGATGCTGTTTCTTTTTGCACTTCAGGATCGCAGCTGAACCGAACTATCATGCATCCACTGAGGAGTGGACCGTGACAACTACCCATGCTTTCCTCCTCGTCCTCCTACTTAGAACAAATTAAGGACTTGGCAAGAAAAGAGTATTTACAGGTAAATTACTAAAAGCTTTGAGGAAAAAGGGACTCCTGTTTTCAAAACTTGGTATCTAAATATTATTTTTAATTTCTCCAGTCAAATAGTTATCTGAAAATGTTAGGCATCTAGCTGTCAGACTAGCATTCACTTAATCAAATTGGGATCACCAGAGACCCTGAATTAGCTCATGTAGTACTTATCTTTTTTCTTTGTTGGTTAAAATTGCTGATAACCACTCCAATGAAAAGGTTCAGCATGAAGAAAGATCCAAAAATAATGAAAATCACAAAATACGTATACATGGCTAAGAATGCTTCAAACTTTGGCTGTTCATCTATCTGTTAAAAAAAATCAAAACAGAAAAACAATATTGGTAAAAACCACATAATTGCAGCTTCATAATTTCCAATTTATAATAACAAATCTTTTTATTGTCAGGAAGGATAAATTATTTCTACATATTTAAACTTCTATTTAGATGTACAACTAGAACAACTGTTTTTGTCTTGTTACTGTTTGTAAAGATAATTACAAACAAAGAAATATAGGCAAATCCAACTCTAGCAAGTTCTTAAGTAATATATAATCAGTTCCAATCAGAAGTGATACTGCGAATGCCTAGATTAGAAAAACAGCTCAGACTAAACATCACGGTGAACAGCCATCCCCTTGAATGTTATCCCAGACAAGAAGCAGTTTTAAAAACCCAGCTCACCATGAACAGCCCTACAAGGAATAATCTAGTTAATTAGCAGCTCTTTCAATACATTCAAGAGTACAGTGCCTGAATGAATAAGAAAAATGCAAGTTAAATTAAACATAGAAAAGTTGAAACAGACAGTACTAGTGAGAGAGTGAGAAACAACATATGGAAATGGGGAAGAAATAGTAAGGACGTCAGATATGGTGAAGAGAACCTCCAGAAATAACTGCTAAAGGTACACGCTGTTTTAATGCTACTGTACACATTTAAAAAAAGAGATTTGCTTCAGAGGCACAGTCCCTCCAAGACCTTCTGAGATCTGTTCCCAAAACAGACTTGTCCAAAACTTGCAACATTTTGCCTTTGCGTTCTTGGTACAGTAAGTTTTTGTGTGGTGTCACTCTATTTTGACCAGTTATCTTTTGTCTAAGTTCCAGATATTTGGTACTCCAAGGATTATTGTTTGACTGCGTAGTTTGAAGCATTCATCCGCTTGTATTTCTGATTTGTTATTGCGAACAATGCTGAAAAGTTAATAGTATGAATAGAAAAGGAAAGAAGGGAAAAGAACTAAAATTGTATTTTAGTGACATACCTTACGTGAATCCACTGCTGCATACATAATATCCATCCAACCTTTAAAAGTTGCCTGAAAAAAAATGCATTATTAAGGTTATTAGCACTATAAAAAAAAAATAAATAGGTAGAACTAATATAAATGTGTTAAGAGTTGTGGAAAAGTGAGCAGTGCGCTATAAAAAATGTGCATCACTTCCAAAGATCTCCTTGGAAGTATGATTCACTGGAGTTTAGTAAACAGAAAAAAAAAAGCATTTCCTGAAAAGAAAAAAAAATTACCATGAATCCCATGAAATGTGTTTTAATGTTAACTCATTTAATTGAAACTTTTGTAAATTAAATTCACTGCTTTTTGAAAAAGCAGGAGAGGTTTCAGCTTAACTAGCAAATTTATTCTAAAACAATAAAAACAAATTCTAATAAAGCAGCAGACGATTCCTTCCTGCAATTTTTAGCAACTCTTTAGAATCGTAGAACACTTTGGAGGATACAGGTCAAAGAACTTCATGTAGAAAAGATACGGGGGTAACAGCCACATTTAAAAATGCCTTCCTCTCCTTTCCTGTGGCACTAGAGAGGTCAATAAATCAGTGTCCCAATACTCCCTGGCTTATACAATAAAAGAAAACATGGAAATATAAATAAACTGCATCACACTTTTTCTTTCTCATCCATTCTGAACTAATTCTTATTAAAGAATATGAGAATAACTTTAAATCCAGTAACATGCACACTATTTCAGGCTTAGTATGTTAAAATCAACACAAAATTGAAAAGCCACGAAACACAGTGCTTGTTTTTAACACAAGGTTTCATATGCTAAAGTGTTCTTTAGGAGGAACTGAACAGCTTATAGATGAGAAATATATTTATGGAAGCTAAAATATCCCCAATTTCAGTGAGATAAACAGAAGCGTAGTGGTGTCCCATGGTTGGGCTGCTCAACACATTTCCTCAAAGAAAGCAAAACTGAGCATGTTTTCATAGAACTTACCACTTGGAGAAGAGCCAAGTATCCCATCCCAACATTGTCAAAGTTTACATCACTATTTGTCCATGTTCCATTATGGACAGCACAATCAGTTATGTTATTAATTCGACTGGTATTTCCTTTATCAAGTTTGCATTTCCAAAATTTTTTTCCCAGTAATTTTACTCCTACAATGTTAAATAGGAGCCAGAAGACAATGCAGACGAGCAAAACGTTCAAGATTGAGGGGATTGCTCCCAAGAGTGCATTCACAACAACCTTAAATAAATAAAATTAATGAAAAGAATGAATTATTCACATTCAATAGAACACCTTCCCAGAAAACCACTTATTTTTCCTTCTTCTGTATCTATTGCAGATTCCCAACCAGATAAAAACTAGTAGATGACAAATTTAAAGCCAGCTTTCAGCTCAATTTAAGCTTGTGTTAACACGTAATTCTGTGGTTATCTATCTTGGCTTTTTGAGGAAGGAAGTAAAACAGATGGCAATCAAAACTATCCTTGGGTAAAAGAAATGCGTAAAATAAGATTATGAATCTGTAGTAGCTATGGGATCTAAAACTTAGGTATGGGGTACAGGTTTTATGATCTGCCTTTACTACAATATCATAAATATCCCTCTCTTTTATCTTGGAGGGGGTTTGTAAGAGTGGTCTCCATAACAAAATGGTCTCCATAACAAAATGAACCTCACCCAATAACCACTGGCAACTGACTGCACACAGTATGTAAAGTAGAGAAGTTTGGCTTCCAGAAGACTGACTTGTTGTGGTCAGCAATCTCCCTTCATTTAGGCATGCTTGAGGACAAGGTGAATGTAAATCCTTGATGAGCAGTAAGCCTCTTCCAGAAATGGTACCAGTGAAAATAGGATTCCAGCTTTTGGTGTCTGTGCTGGTGACGTCAGGGGACCTGACGCAACCAGTGATGAGAACTGGATTCACAAATCCAGCACATTGATGCTGACAGGCAGGACCATGCTTCTCACCAGTGGGAATTTGAGGACTATTATCTATTTCTTTTCACCATTTTTTGCCATTCTCTGGTAGGGCATAGTAAAATCTCTCTGGAAATGTTTCATTGCTATCATTATTAGAAAATTCTGCACCTTTTATCCTGGCCTTGGATAACATCCGTGTACTGGAAACACACAGAATAAAGCATGTTGGAAGGGACCAGCTGTTCCAACATAGACCAAGTTGGTTGGTATCTTGTGCAGTCAAGTTCTGAATTTTTCCAAAGGTGGAGATTCAACAACCTCTCTGGACAACCTATTGCAATGCTATATACCCACCCTGTCATCTTTTTTCCCAGGTAGCTAACTGGAATATCCCTCACCGCCAACTCATTCTCTCTCATTTTCTCACTGTGGGCCTACCAGAAAACAGTAGTTCCATTTCTTGCATAACCTCCCACTGAGTAGATAAATACAATTGGATGCCTTATCTAATTAGATTCGTCAGATTCTCCCTTTAACCTTCTCTTCTCCAGACAGAACAAGTTCTGTTCTCTCAGTTTCTCCACTCCAGTCTCCTGACCATCTTGTTGGCACTTTGCCAGACGCTCTCCAGTATGTTAATATCTTTCTTACATTGGGGATCCCCAAACTGGACACAACACTCCAGATTCAGTCTCAAAGGTACCAAAATCAGAAGAGTGAATTGCCTCAATGTGCTGACCAGACTCATGCTAATATGGCCCAATATGTGGTAGATCTTCTTTGTTGCTCTGCTGACTTGTGTTTAACATGCTGTCCACTCCATGTCCTTTTCTGCAAAGCTGCTCATTTCTCGGTGTGCCACAGTTAACATGTGGTTATTTTGGCTCAGGTGCAAGAGTTTGTATTTGCTTTTGCTGAGCCTCCTGAGGCTTCTGCAGTCCATACCTCCAGTCTGTCAAGCTCTCATTGCAGAGCAGCTTTGCCACCAGTGTATTAACTGTTATTCCCCAGTTTTGTATCATCTGTGAACTTGCTGAGGACAATTTCTACCATCCAGGTTGTTAATTAAGTCATTAAGCAGTATAGGTCCCAGGACTGACCTCTGAGCCACTAGTAACCAGTTGCCAGTTGAACTTCATCCTGATGATCTCTGCACGTTGAACCTGGCAGTTTAACCAATTTTCTGCCTAGCTTATAGCTCACCTAACCAGACCACGGTATGGCTCATCCCTCCGTCAGCCATCTCATCATAGAAGACAATCAGGTTTGACAGGCAAGAATTGCCCTTCCTAAATTCACGCTGGCTGTTTCTAACTGATTCCTTCTTGTCCTTCACGGCTTCCAGGAGGATTTAGTCCATACCCATCCTGGGTCTGAAGTTAGTGTCTCGTCACATTCTGTGATCTAACACAGGTCAGATGATGTGCATGATACAACTTTTTGTTTCCCCCCTTTAAAGATTACAGGTAGTTCACTCAGTGCAGCTTTTGAAATTGAGTTAGAAGAAACTCCTCTCCTATTAAGAAAATCCAACCCTGTTTAAGTTTGAAAGGATTGTTATCTTTCAGATTCACGCTGGAGAACCTGAAATGTGGCACATGAGCCTGTCTAGATAACTGCCAAGATGAGCTGATATAAGCACAGCAGCCTAAAGGACGGGAATTACGAAAAGGAGTTACAAAAAGTGAATAGCTTCCACTGAAGCAATGAATTAATGAATCCGTTTTTCAGGTCCCAATTTCTTGTCTCAGGCAATAAGAAAAAATTAAGAAAGGAACTGTGGTCACTACACTTGTTACACCATGGAAAATGATAAACTACAACTTCCACAGTACAGATTTCTTCCTCACTCAACTGTTTGTTTTCTGTAATAACTATATATATAGCTTCTTTTCTATTGACAAGTAATTACAAATGGTTCCTATTTTTTTCAAGCATATTCATTCTTTTTCAGAAGAATTTGCCAAATACATGAGATGAAATTTTTCCATGTCTAAGACCAAAGGATGTGTTTCAGAAAAGTACAAGTCAAAAAAAATTCTTGTTTAGTTTGTTCTGCAAATTGCACTGAACATGGAAACATGTTCCAGTGTTCACATTACCATATGTAATAATTCCTTGTGGCAGCACATTATAATTTAATTTCCTTATTTCATTCGTACTTATAAATTTCTGTGAAAATGTTAGGTACGATTTCCAAACAACAACCATAAGATGTAAGCAGGCAATCTGAACCATTTTCATGCCATCTAGTACCAAAACAGAGATTCGAGTTGTAATTTTCAGAAAAAAATTCAAATGCAGCTATTACAAAATATGCTCACGCACCCCCAACACCCTTACCTTTATCCCTTCAAATCTTGACAAAGCACGCAGAGGCCTCAGTGCTCTAAGAGTCCTGAGAGATTTTAGGGCACTCCCAGAGGAACAAAGTGATGATGTGGCTTCAGAAACAGGATTTAGTCCCCAGGAAACAAATGACAGCTGTGTTCATTAATTGAAACTGAGATTACTAAATGGTATACAAAAATGTATTTTATTTGTGTCACTAGACAATCATAGACTGAATGTTACAGTAAGTAAAATGCAGAAAATACATATTCAAATTTATCGTAATATAATTTTACTTCACTCTTTCCCTAATATTTTTCAAATAATGGAATTCTTTCCTTCTAATTTGAAACGCTTTTTTGCTTTTTTTCTGCCCCCAAAAGTTCACATAATATTTTATAATGGTTGTATAACAACTAAATTCATAACTATGGCAATTTCATACACTACAAGACCAGAAAGAATTATTCAAATAAATTATCCCCATTTTCTGCACAGTTATTCTCAGAAGTGTCTACAGTAATTTCTTATCATAACTTAAGACAGTGATGTGGAAACAAAAATTATTTTAAAAAATATATCCAATTTTCATTTTAAATTTTTGTAAGAGAGAAAATGAACTGAAAACATCAGAAAATTATTTCAATAACTGTGGTTTTTTCCACTGTTCATGATGTGCTTCTTCCTTGTCATTTGAATTTGTTGTCTTACTGTCTAACCATTGGATATTTTCATGTTTTTCCTCTGTTTTGGACAGCAGTGCTATTAGTATTACAGAACTGTAATTGCTAAAGTTATGCTATACATTCTTTGTAAATAGTCATAATATTAGATTTTTCTGTTGAAATTTCCTAATACTTCACAATTTTCAGTGCTAACAGTTCAGAGGCTCCCAAACAGCTACTTTGATGTTACTGGAAGCCAAATGTTTAGATGTCCTTATTTTAAAATATTTCACTTCAGCATCTTCCCGGCGTATTGTTGACAATCAAAAATATTTCATTCTTCTATGGCAAGATTATATTATTTAATTTTGTCTGAATGCAGAATAAACACGTATATATTGAACACTGCACCTCCTCCATCTCACTATTGATGATTTGGACGGGGCTCTGAGCAACCTGGTCTAGTTGAAGATGTCCCTGCTCATTGCAGGAGGGTTGGACAAGGTGATCTTTAAAGGTCACTTCCAACCCAAACCATTCTATGATTCTATGATTTCAGCATTTCTCTTTATAGCTATATAAAGGACTGATACGATTTCTTTGGTTGCAATGCAAAACACATTTTCCTATGTCTTTAACTCTGGTAAATGATTTTTTCCAACAATGCTTTTCAACTCCCTTTACCAACTAAATTTCTTCTCCTTTAAGGAAGCAACTCCACTTTTTTTTCTGTTTCTAAATGCTGGAGCGGCCAGCAGCTTCACATTTTTCTATCATCTTCATTAACTTATTTTAGTTTTATTTCTGATTGCTAATTACACTCACTCTCTACACTTAAAAAGTTTTTTATAACCAACATGGTCCTCAATGACAATGACACTTAGTCACATTTTCTTAAGCAACTTCTGATTTCTACCTACAATTTCCATTTAAAATTGTCCCTTTTCATTGCAATTCTTTTCTGCTTTTGGAAACTGTCTTATACACTTGTGTTTAATCATTATCAGATTTTACATGTAATTCTCTACATTGAAAATACCAAAATTCAGTATGTAAGACAAGCTGAATGTAATACTTACACATACAATGATGAAGTCAAGCCAACACCAGGCATTTGTGAAATAACTGTGCAAACCATAAGCTACCCATTTCAGAATCATCTCCATAAAAAAGACGTAGGTAAATATTTTATCAGCATACTCTAGGAGCATTTTCACATTTTTTCTCTCATTCAGGTGAATATCTTCAAATGCCTGGAATTTCAGAATTCAGTTTTAAAACAGTTCAGTAGTTTTACGGAAAATTATTTTAAAATTGCACAAGATACACAGTTTTGCGTATTATATTTCATATTACATTATGAGCAACCACCACTTAGTTTCATACCTAAAAGTAAAAAACTAAATTGTAATATAAGTACAGTCTTATTTTCAGGTTGGTTGAAAAATCCCATACTTTCAGTTGTTTACACTCAACACTTCTTCAAAAAATATCTGATGAGGATCAATTATGGTTAGCAAAAACCTTGGCTATCCAAGTTAATGGATAATTTTGGAGGTGTTGGTCTAAAATTCTTCATAATAAAGCTCGAATTAAACACATTAATCACTATCATTCAGGCCTAGACCTTCCAAAGGAGTCATCTTTAGTCAGCCTGCAGAATTGGAATATAGATATGAAAAAAACATGACAAATGCCTTATCTGGAACTGTTCATTCCTGGAGTTTCACATTTTTTTGCCTAAACCCTGACATTACTTTAATGTCAGTAAAGTTTTAGGACAATCTTGTATGATTGCTGTAGTTTACGTCATTGTTCACTTGCGTTCAATATATTTGCCGCCTTGCTAATTTATTGTCAGGTTTTGATAAATCTACTCCCAATTCCTTTCAACATCTGTATTATTTCCTCACCAACCCTCTGGCAATCTCTATTCTTCCTTTCATTCATTTCTCCCCTACCTTAGAGCTCCATCTCCACTTCATCTCTCTTTTGCTGACATTTCTGATGATCTATCCATCCACTTTTGCCACCACTATTTTCCCCTTAGAAATCCATGTCTGTCATTACTTTTACTTAAATTTTTTCTTACTTATGTAGATATATCAGAAACCACCCTGTACCACACCCTTTCCCACACCCTATATTCCTAGATATAAATTACTCAATCTCCTCTTGTCTCCTTGTCTTTAACTCTGTCTCAAGAGCTCAGTGTGTCTCTAGAGCACATCAGAGCATTTAACAATTTCCCCTTCTCTTCTCCTCATTCAAATCTGTGTTTCCTTCTCTGACATTGCCTCTGCAGCTGCTAACTTTCTGCTTATTTCTTGCCATGAGAAGTTGAAATGTGAAGTTTAAGAGACTGTCGTCTCAAGAGGAATACACCATCTCACACCCTGGGAACATCATAACACAACATCTTTATTTTATAGAAGAGCAAATGAAGTGTAGAGAGATCAGTTCATTTCCCCAAAGTCACACGGCTGTAGTCTGTGACAAAGATCAGGAACCAAACAGAAGATGTCAAAGTTTTAACCCATATCCAGTTTCAACCTCTTCACTTAACAGCTCCTTACCTGACTGTTAAATCTCTTATTCTGCTATTATTTTTCAATAAGTTCATTAACAGCCAACACCCTCTAAGGAAATACCAGGCTCTGTTATACGAGAGACTGACCCAGATGGTCCACACACCTTTGGTTCAGGGGTAGCAAAGACACCTCAATGGTTTTGCAAGGGTTAGCTCAGCTACAGCGGGAATTAACAGTTGCAGGTTATCACCAGTCACATTACAGCATTAAATGTTTCTTGCAGAAACACCTGAGTGCCTCTGCTATGTGTCTCCAGTGCTCTGGAAGAAGATAATTGTTTAGGTATTATAGCAGACCTGATTTGCTCCCCTGTATTTACGACACGCTAAATCCAATCTAAAAGGGGGAGCAGGAGCATAACCAGGTGTTTAGATCAAGTGAGACCTGAAACAATAAACTCATGTAAAATCATTCCTGTGTTTCTGTTTTATATTCCCACTGAAAAAACACAGGGCAGAGATGCTTCTATGTGTAGTTATCAACAATCCGGTAAAATTTATGCACTCCTGTGCAGTGTAAGAAAACAGCAACACTGCTTCTGGAGCTAAACAGTCTTTGAAGCAGTGGCCATTCAGCTGTGCTACAATTAGGAGAAATGTCTACAGACCGGACCTGTCACTGCGTCCACAGGACTAGTAATCTGGTGTGGGTAATTCAGAACTCCTGCCATTCATGTACATAGATCTATTTACCATTTCCTACCTTTTTTTCTGAGCAAGTTCAATGATTAGCGGTCTTTTTCACTGTTTAACCTTGGCTACCTTGATTTGCGTCCACTAGTCAAATCACCCATTCCTTATCATCAATCCTCTTCCAAACTTCTAATTACTAACTCTTGCTTTGCTCTGAGCACTGTGCACTCACCACGTAGTTTTCTATGCATTCTTTCTATGCTCACCATCTCACTTAGTTTACTTTCAAGCCATGGACATGCCTGATGGTATGGTATCTCTTCATTCTAGCTGGTTCAGGAACTTCTATATCAGCAACCAACTTTATAAACACACAGAAAATGGACAAGTCCCTTTTTGCCAGAGAACAACAGTATCTTGGAAATGTGAAAGTCCTTAACACCACAATACAACTCTAAAAAAAGAAATCATTATTGTTTTGTTATTTTGCATCTGAATAGTAACTAGTTTTGTGTTCAACTTAGCCAGATCTTACAGTGCATTAAATAATAACTCAGTTTCTTTCATTACTTCAGTTTGGTTCCATGTGAGTACAGAGGAGCCCTCATGGGAATCCCAGGGAGTTCCCATGGAGATTTTGCCATGGAAATTTTAAAGCAGACAGTTCACATCTATGGTTCAGTGTAAAACCTAAACTTAATGCACACAGAACAGATTTCATCTGGAAAACTCTGACATCTACCATACACCATATCATAGAATGGTTTGTAGATCACTTTCACACTAGTTGGTTATGTTCCTTCTGCATTATATAATGTTTTATTTAACAAATTACCTTCAGGAGACTTAGTGAGTATGTAGAAATGGATATAAACAGAGCAGCAATGAAACATGAAGTCACCTACCAGTTTACAATCATCTTCATTTTTAGATTCTGATCATCTTAATGTTTGGATGGTTTTAAATCTAAATTTTTACTGAGCAGTTAGTCTGCTTTATAAATTTAGAAGTACTTTTATTTTTTTAAGCTTTCCTAAGTAATTTTAGACTCTCATTTAGCCCTCTAATTAAGCACAAAAGTGTGTGAATAACTTCATGAAGAACTATGAAGAAGACTATGATTCCATATATTTAAATATCTTATCCAAGTGGGGAAGAGCCTTGTAGCTTTCAAGGGATATGTTTCTTATATTCTTGTCTCTCCCTGGGGAGAGTAATGTGAGAGTAGAAGAATTAAATTCAATATAATAATATGATTCGTTTCCTTTACTGACAACCATCAATTCAAAATTTGAGAAAATAAATTAAATTTACCAGTGCTGCGCTGCTCAATATTATCATAAAAATTATAAAATTTTCAAACCAGCTATGTTTAACAATTTTGTAGCAGGTTTTTCTAAATTTCCACCAAGTACTGCCTGGAAACTTAGTGACATCCCGTGTGCAACACGGGAAACATTCAATACAACCTGAAAAGAGAAAGAACAGCATATTAGCTCCATGGAGATGTGGAATCTAAAAAGTGTAAGACATCTTAAAATGAGCTTCTACAGACTATAAAACAATGTGCAGTTTTACATATGCGGTGATGCTACGGCTGAAATGCTATAAAGCTAAAGAAAAGACAAAATTCGTAGGCCAAAATCTCTTTTAATAGAGTAACTCATACATGGGAAAAGCAGAGAAGCTTTTGTGTCCGCAAGTCTGATGTGCCCTACAGTCAGATGCCTCAATATAAGACTAAATCACACTCCAAAGATGGCATTTTCCTACCTAAACACAGGGGTTTAGAACCATTTTCAGCCTCTTCGGATATCCTACAGTTTCTGTGACAGTTCTGCCAGCTTCATGCAGCTGTCTTGCGTACTCTCAGGCATCTCATATGGTACTAAGTGCCTGTGTTCAGGCATCCCAACCCTGCTCCAGTTCTGTGCTGGCTTCAGGTATATTTATTTGACTTTTTACATTTATAAATGAGTGTTTCAGGTGAACAGTTTCTGCCAATTTGGAAACTTTCCACCCAGGTATCTTTGAGTACTGGTTCGTTTGATGTCACTGCAATACAGAAAAGATTCTTACTTTCTGCAAAACAGTCCTTAGGTAGGTGTGACTTTTCAGCCTGGGAAAACGTCTCCAGAAGAATAACTGGATCCACAGTGCTGGCTTCGGAATAGCTACTAAGATCACATTTCTGCACAGGAGAAGGGGAAAGAAAAGAATTTATTTGCTTTTCATTAATAAGGTTACCAGATTTAAAATAAATGAAACTTATCATCCCCCCCCCCCTGCCCCCCCCCCCAAAAAAAAAAATAAAACGGCACGGTATAAATTATCTTAATGTTGCGGAACTCCCAAAAAAAAAAAAAACAAACACAAATAATAGGAAAGGAAAGGCTAATCCCTATTCTTTGTTGCCACAGCTTTAATTTAATGTTTCTTGGTTTATTCTAGTCGTCTGCATTGGACTTGCAGGAAGGAAAATGTTTAGAAGAGATTACATTATGCTAGAACTTTACTTTAGAGAAAACTCTGATTTCTTCATGCCAACCCAATTCTCTTTTCATTTTCAGAGATACAAATCCCATCTCAAAAGGCTTGAAGATGGGAAGGCCTAGCAGGAAAGAAATGTACGTATGTAGTTATTGGTAGGTAACCTACACACCCTTAAAACTAAAGACAATAAGGAAAACAAGCATAAACAAAAACTAATCAAGCAATCTCTCAGCCATAAAGTGTCAGTGCCCTGTATGACATGGAAAGAGAATGCATGAGGATAGGGATAAGAATGAGAAACCAGAAGAAGGGACAACTGCCTTTGTTGACAGCCATGCTGCTCTACACTAATTTAAGGCCCCAGGGAATCTTCAACACAGACAAAAATGCAATTATTTAAGTTCATGGGCATTTTAATATTTTTAATACTTTTTTTTATATGAATATAATTAAATAGTGTATAACAAACAAAACTTCTGGCAACTTTATCTAAAACCAGAAAATGCTGAAGTGGTTTGACTTTTGGAGCTTGTAATCCAGAAAGCTGCTGAAGTTCCCTTTAATTTTCTGGGTGACTGGAGGCAAGACATGATTCTTCACCATTTTTTGATATGGAACTGTACTGTATTAGAATAAGCTGTCTCTAGACAAGAAAAAGTATAGTTGTTTTGGGAACCATTTCTAGGCAACAAATTTTTGCATCCAAGGATGACAGCAAACAATTATCTATAAAAATGAATAGTATGTATCAGATGTGTTTGAAGTATCTTGATGAATTTCTGTTTACTTATTTTGTACAAAATAATATATTCGGTTACACTGTTAGCCATGGCTGTTTATGAGAGACAAACTGAAGGCAGTAGCTTAAAGGAGAGGAGTGGATGGACACAAGTCCACGCTCGGGGCAGCAGGTGAACCCCTTCCTTGCCCACTCTGCCTTCCCAGGTGCCTCTGTACAACAGGTACAAAGCTCTGGATGTGGAAGGTCAGTCAATGGATGATGATGTGGAGGACGGTCCATCTTCACCAGAGGTGCTGCCAAGGTCAGAAAGGCCCACCCCCTGTATCATGACCACCTCCACGAGGAAGAAAAGGTGGGTTATAGTTGTAGGCGACTCCCTTCTGAGGGGAACAGAGGTCCAGTATGCCAGCCAGACTCTCCTTTTAGGGAAGTCTGCTGCCTCCCTGGGGCCCAGGGTAAGGACAGCACTAGGAAACTTCCCGTCCTGGTACAGCCCTCAGACTATTACCCATTGCTGTTCTTCCACGTGAATAGCGATGAAGCCTCAACGTGTAGCCCAAAGGGGATCAAAAGAGACTTCAGGGCCTTGGGACGGTCAGTAAGGGAATCTGGAGCGCAGGTTATTTTTTCCACTCTCCTTCCAGTTGTGGAAGGGACATTGGAAAAACTAGATGAGCCCACTATTAATACGTGGCTCTGTGGCTGGCAACACCAACACAATTTTGGGTTTTTCGATAATGGGGTGGCCTACATGGCACCAGGCTTGCTGGCATCATGTGGGATTCACCTTTCTGAAACGGGGAAGAGGATCTTCGCTCACAAGCTAGCAGGACCCATTGACAGAGCTTTAAACTAGGCTTGAGGGGGCAATATCAGGCTTGCCCATTACAAGCTGTGGGATGACACGCCAAAGTTAGAGGGATGGGGTGCTAGCAAGGGCCTGCTGCCTGTTACCCTGAGATGTGCTGGCTACACTGCAACACACTTGAAGTCTTACAGAGATAAGCCAGGAGCTCCTTGAGGTAATGGGAGCCAACAGGGAAACACCAGTGAAATATCTCAAAGGAATCATTCAAGGTCAGATCGGACCAGGCTCTGAGCAACCTGATCTAGCTGAAGATGTCGCTGCTTATGGCAGGGGGGTTTGGACTTAAAGGTCCCTTCCAACCCAAACTATTCTATGATTCTATTGTATGAAACTTCCAAGCTTTAAACTATTATCACCTCTAGAAAGATGTATCATCTTCACTGGGATTATACTTTCTTGTCCTGTCATTTATGAATGTGACAATTATCACCTCTAACATATTCCACAAGATGATAAAACTTATAATTACCTCTTTTTGCTCTTTCTTTTGCTGTGTTTCTGAAAAACCACTTATAGTTTCTGAAGTCCCAGAAATCTGACTGAAGCTGCTTGAACTCCGGCACTGCTCTCTATGTCTTAATCTGCTTCCCTGCATGAAATAATGCAAAACAGTTGATTTTCCACATTTTTCTTCCTGACAGTCATTCCTAAAAGTCAAAATTCTTTAACAGAATCTAAAGCATCCACAAAATTCAGCATGTTTGCCTTTTTACAGGTAATTATATTATATCCCAAAAAGGCATGTAAATGGTTTCTTCCTCAATTTCAAATACTGTGGTCTTGTGGTTATACTGTGGAAACGTACCATTCCTCAAGATCTACATTTAGCTCAACTCATGCTTACAGTTGCCGACAGAAGAGCTCAGTGATCCCAATCAACTTTTCGTCCTTTTGCAACTACAAGTTCAAAGCAATACCAGATTCCACTGCAGCAGGGAAAGAATTTCTGGCACCAAATGCTTATGGACAACGTATTTCAAATAGCGGCAGATGATTCTAAGGTAATCAGCAATTTCTGTTTCTTTGAGAACTTGTCCAAAGATATTCCACTGACGATGCCTCCTCTTGAGACCTAAACCAGAAAATGGATCCTACCAGTCCACCTAGACACCTAGTATCTATCCAAAAATAGCACCCACTTTTGATATTTCTGTTGTGGCATAACATATGTGGAATCTTGAGATCCAGGTATCTAAATGGAGTAATCTAATTGTGGCTGATACCTAGCATCGCCTGAGGTGTTTCTACATACTCCTATCCTCTAGATGCCAAAAAGAGTTCCTATAGCTCCTGTGTTTTATTGGTTAGTTCCACGTGGATGTGACAGACACCTGACATATCTCAGATATCCCTAAATGCCTATATATAAGCAATTGAATTGCACTGTTATTGACTATCACGGCAGTATAAATGCTTCACTCACATGCAGAAATCTGTATTTAGGTATCTGTACTGAGGTGCCTAAGACTTGAGCTTAATCCTGCCCACAAAACAGACAGATATAAAGGGGAATCCAAAGTATCCAAGACATGAATAGAGAATTAAAGAAACATTAAGAATTTTTTTTTTTAAAGTGAAGCTTTTATTTGCATCCCCTTTGGATTCCATGCAATTGAGAAGCAATATATAAGCAACACAAGAGGCCTTCCTTCCAAAAAATTCCAGGTGCTATCTGTAAGGCAAAGGAGACAAAAAGAAAGAACGTCTCTCTTGATCAAACTTCATTTAATAATTGACAGCAATAAATGGAAACAAAATAGACAGAAGCAGAATTATAGCTATCAATGAGGAGTATGATGAAAAAGTGGATACTCAACCTCCCTTACTGAATGACTAAGACTGTTTGGTAGCTCTTGCATTTTGAAGGTACTAGGAGAACAACAAAAGTAAAATGCAGAAATGACAGAAGGGATAACATGTACTGTTGAGTCTTTGAGATTATATTTACAGATGCAAGTTACAATAATTTCTCAAACAATTATCCTCCTTACCTGTTTTCTGTATTCTATTTCTGTGCATACACTGTCCTCATCGTCACCTTCATTGGTGGAAGTCTCAGCTTCTGCAATGGGAACACAGGTACTACGACTGGTTAAAAATTCTTCATATTTCCTTGTTATTGAGGAACTCTCTTCAGTATTGTGATACCCAATGTCAAAGCAATCATTGTCTATATCTTTTCTGACATCTGTCATGGCATAGTTATTTTCCTCTATGTCCTTGGTAGAAATTTTCACCAAAGTCTTCCTTTTGGCTGATGTTTTGAGGTTTCGTTTCATTATTTTGCCACAACGATCCCAAACTCTGCCTTTCACAGACTGCAGGCCCTTGTGAATCCGTGCAATGGCAATTTGACATTTAGTCATTTGTCCAGTGTCCTCTTGTCCCATTGAAGAGTCAGTACTGAACGAACTCAGCAGCAAGGCAATGAATAGGTTGAGCACCTTAAAATAGTTAAAGTAAGTTGGAGACACTACTATTAACAGAAAATACCCTCCTTAGATAAAAAAAACCTCACTTTCATCAACCACTGCAATTAAATTATTTACTATTTTACTGGAATATTAATATAGTATGTTATGGCTCCTTCTGGAAGGAAAGGCAAAAAGGAAGGAAGTGAGGATTTGGGTATATCAAATATTTTTTCACATGCTCTGATGTCAGTAAAGTATGAGGACATGTTGAAAATATGTTGAAAAACAGCAGGCAAAGATAACTTTTAATAACACCACCATAAAAAAGGATCCGGTATAGACCAAAAAAACAAGCAGATCAAAAAACCTTCATCTTCCAGTATATATACATTAGATTTAGTCTATGTCACACAAACCAGAAAAATCTGGGTACTGTAAACTTTGGATAATATATGGATAAGTTGGTAAGGATTAAAAGCACTGAACAGTCTGGTTATTTGATCCAAGCAACAGAAAAGAAGAAGAAATTAGACAAAATCAAAAGCACTGCATTTCTGTACTCTGGGTAGAAGGAATAATTTTGCGTATTTTGCTTAGCAGCTACCTCTTGTGTGAGAAAGAGGAAGATGAGGAAAAGGAAAAAAGACAGAAGAAAAATATATATTAAGTAACATCCAGAAAAGAGAATAGTGTGAATACTCTTCAAATGATAAAGTTTGCTTTGGAAAAAAAGATGCCAGTGTAACTGGATGCATTCAGTAGGGACTGAAAAATATTTTGAAACTCACCACCAGGTTTCCTATGACCAGGACTAGCAAGAAAATGGGAAGACATAGCCCTTTTCCAGCCACTTCCATACATTCCCACATGGTTTCAATCCATTCTCCACATAATATTCGAAATATAATCAGGAATGAATGACAAAAATCCTTCATATGCCAGCGTAAATACTCATCGGTGTTTATTTTATAGAAATAAGTCTCATAATATTTGCCCAAGACCTGCTTTCCTACTACAGCAAAAATAAATACAGTGATAATCAAAACCAGAGTGAGGTTACCCAGAGCACCAACTGAGTTCAGAATTATTTTCATAAGAGTATTTAAAGCTGGCCAGGACTTTGCCAATTTGAAGATCCTGAGCTGTAAGTAAAACATAAGAGAACAATGTGAGTGGAGAACAGTGCATAGATAGCACAGCACACATAAAAACCAGACCCTGCATTTATCATGCTGTCTTTACTTCAGTAACACCATCAAATTTTTCCGCCCAAAGACAGGTTTCTAATTGTTCCGATCCAAAAGCACTGTGCTTAAGTTCAGATGGGTAATATTACTGAGACCAGAGAACTGCCAAAGGAAGCTTTCCAATTGTTCATGCTAAGTTAGATACAAGCATGTGTAACTCTATTAGTATTAATAGCAATATCAATAATAGTAATAAAAATCAAGTGGCTTATAGGTACTTTAATATTCACTTAATATTCACTCTAATTAAACATTCATATTGGCTTACTATTTACTAACAAAGAGAACTGATTCAACAGATTCATCAGTAAAAGAATTTCAGGGTATTTCACTGTAATCTTTTACAAACCTATACAACACATGTACTTTTAAAAAAGGAATAATTACCAGCCTGAGAGATGACAGATTTTCTTCAAAGCTTATTAGGCCAATCATAACAACTATGCTATCAAAAATATTCCATTTTTGTTGAAAATAGTTGTAAGGATCTAGAGCGATGATTTTCAAGATCATTTCTGCTGTAAAAATCAGGGTGAAGACCTGGAAAGAGGAAAAAGAAATGCAGCAAAAAGTCACTGAAAAAGTATGTCTCCTTAAGGGACTGACCCAGTGTAAATATGGGTTTATAACTCCATATTCACTCTAACATAGACCTAACTTACCTTGTCACTTATAAAAATCATTTTCCAGTAATTTTCTGGCATTTGCGGGTACTCCAGAGCCATGAATAAGGTATTCACGATAATGCAAACCATGATTAAGAGATCAACAAATGGATCCAAAATTACTGATTTCACTTTCTCTTTGACTGCTCTCCAGAATGGACAACAATTCCAAATTAGATACTTTTGAGCAAAACGTTTCCACAATAAAGGGAATTTCAGTTTTGACTCTTGCAGTTCTAAATGACAAAGAAGGAAAATGACATATGAATACTCATGTGAAATGTCACAGTATGAAGAAAAACACAGTCAGACATGGAAAAGATTGAAAAGAAAAATCAATCATCTCGTGAGCAGAATGCCATAATTGAAAAAAAGTTTTTCACTCATTCGACACAACCTAATCACAGGCTATTTAAAGGTCACCATCAACAAATCTCATAATTACAGAAACAGGTGATATTACCCACCTCTTCATGCATTTATTATGAACGTATGGTGGCCCTCTGCTGAACTCAAATCTATTTCTTGTACTGTAGGAGTTGGGGGGGCGGGAGGGGAGGGGGAACTGGGCATAGTATGTGATCTAGGAAGTGCTTAATAGAGTGCGATAATCACTTTTCTCCTGGATATGCTCCTTTTAATATAGTCCAGGATACTGTTAGCCATTGGCTGCTGCAAGTGTGCGTTACTGGCTCATGCTCAGCTCACTGCCCACAAGGACCCACAGGACCTTTCCTGCAGAGCTGCTTCCCAGCCAGCCAACTCTCAGCCTGTATTGTTGCAAGAGGTTCTCACAGATCTGCAGAATTTTACATTTGTTCTGGTTGAATTTTCATAAGGTTCCTGCTGGCCCATTCCTCCAGCCTGTCTAAGTCCCTCTAGATGGCAGCCCTTGTCTTGAATGTATCCAGTGGTTTCCCCTCCCCCCAGTTTGGTGTCATCTGCAAAATTTAAGAGCAAGACCTCTGTTGCCTCCTCCAGGCCACTTAGGACAAAACATGTCCTAAGGTACACCCTGTGGTACTCGACTGGTTACCTGCCTCCAGGTAGAATACAACCTGTTCACCAGATACTTTAAGACCAAATATCCAATCATTTTTTTGTCCAGCTGGTTGTCCACTTGTGCAGACCCTAACACTTGGGTGAAAAAACGCTGTGGAAGACAGTGTTGAAAGCCTTGCTAAAGTCAAGGTAAAAACCATCCACAAACCCAGTCATTTTATGGTACAGATCAGGCAAGATTCACCCTTGGTAACTGCAAGTTACAGTTGCAGTTACGTGAGATACGAGAATATTTGTTTTACTGAAATTTACATTTGATTGCAGCATAGTTTCCCCTAGTGACTTTTAAAATAATGCTGACTCTTTGTGACATTTTGATCTCTTAGGTAAAGTTACACAATCACCATCAGAAAAACATTAAAGAATGACTTACGCAAATTATCTGTAATAACAGTGGCTGCACTCATTAACCTCTGTCTTCGAAAAGGATCATTTATAGAGTCCACTGACAATTCATAGGACAGCAGTATCTGCCTCTTTGGTTAGAAGATAATATAACAAGGGAATATGAATAAATGGCAATATAAAAACTATGTCCAGCTTAAGATAAATATGCCTTTTTATGTACATATCATAATGAAGCCTTACCTTGCTGAAAGACTGTAAAACAAAAAAAATACAACAATACCATGTGTTTGCCTTTGAAGGCAAAGGATATTTCATCAAAACCAGTAATATTTTTCAAATAGTAGTTTTCTTCGGAAAACATTTAACAGCAATAATAATGCCATTATATAAGAAATATAGAATCATTAACAGGGGACCAAAGGAAAAAAAGTCATTCCATCTTTCTGGCGACTGATAAAAAAAAAACATAGAAGAAGAACACTGATGATCTGTTTGTATAAATTATTGGCTATTTAACTATGAATTATTGATTATAAATAATAATTCTTTATTAACATTAAGAATAGTTATTTAGTGAATAAAAATTATTAGTTTTCCTAGTCCTACTAAGCCTATCAAGAGCTGTACTAATATTGAACTGCCTAAAACTAGGAATGGGACTATTTTTGTTTTAATTAGAAGTTACAGAATCCTAAAATCAGTGTTCCTGATGTACACTGACAACAGACAGGCCAACACCTGTATCTTACGGGACACACTGAATTAATACCAAAGATCCTGTTCATGACACGTTAATACCCCGCACACACACTTTTTAAAGACTAAGTAGACAACAGTAAAACACGGGCTGAAAAGAACAGGTGAGACTCAAAGAGGTAAAGGAAAATAGAAAGAAGATTCCAGTATCAGGGAGGACATAATTAGAAGTACAAGATCACAGGTAGCTACTGACTCAGCACACCATAACGTACAGTACCTTAGTGTTCCCTTTCAGACCAACTCAGTTTGTTTAATTTTCTCTTTGTGGAGAAGGTATACAAGTAAACATATGTCATATCATTACTTCAAACTTCTAGGACAACATGATTTTTATGAACACATTCTATAAAACTTATTCAGGGACTGAAACTGATATCCTTGGCCTCAGGGGTGTAATAATAATTCTTTTTGTCTCTCTGATATTTTAACGACTTGAAAAGCTAAGCAAAACTTAGCTGATAGAACTGTCATAGAACAGACACAGAAAATTAATTTATAATACTGTGCTAAAATGTTCATTTTTCTATCTGTATTTTTTTAGAATCTAAATGACTCAATTAAAGCATTCTCATCACAACCCAGTTACCAGTGCAACTTGTCCTCTCATTCCTTTCTGTAATGTTTGGTGTCTCAGAGGAGAGAAACCTAGAAAAATCCGTGTGCCTGACTAGTGCTCAGTCATCTTGTTGAAATTCATGTCTGTTCAGAAGCACTCGGAGTTAGTGTTTTTAGAAAAGTTAAGAGCGTTCATCAACACTAAACTGGTTACTGCTGCTCATCTATCTTTAGCTGAAATAATTAGTGATGAGAAGTCCTCTGACTGCGCTCTCATGAGACCACACCTGGAATATTTTGTCCAGTTCTGGAGCCCTCAGCACAGCAAAGACATGGACCTGTTGGAGTGAGTCCAGAGGAGATGATCAGAGCACCTCTCCTATGAGGACAGGCTGAGAGAGCAGGGTTGTTCAGCCTGGAGAAGACTCCGGGGAGACCTTATAGCAGCTTTCCAGTATCTGAAGGGCACCTACAAGAAAGCTGGAGAGCGACCTTTTACAAGGGCGTGTAGTGATAGCACAAGGGGTAATGACTTCAAACTGGAAGAAGGGAGATTTAGATTAGATATTAAGAAGAAATTTTTCCACTGTGAGGGTGTTGAGGCACTGTAACAAATTGCCCAGGGAATCTGTGGATGCCCCATCCCTCGATCCGACCTTCAAGGCGAGGTTGGATGGGGCTTTGAGCAACGTGGTCTAGTGGGAAGTGTCCCTGCCCATGGCAAGGGGTTCAGAACTATGTGATTTTTAAGGTCCCTTCCAACCTAAACCTTTCTATGATTCTATGAAACTGGGATTTAAAATAGGGATACACACTAGAGAAATAGTTCAAGTCTTTATAGAACTGATTATGGCCTGCCAAAAAGTTTCTACCCAATATGCTTTTTTCTTTTAGCATCTTGAGCCTCTTTTTGTGATTAAAGTAGATCAAGTAGATTGCTTGAAGAGTCCTCAGTTGCAGCAGAGCTAGTACTAACAGTAGTTGCCATAACATGAAACAAACCACCATGTTTGATGCAGATTATATTTATTTGATTAATAGTAGAACTCTACATTGAACCAGCTCACATTGCGTGGATGATGGTCTAGGCCTTCCTTTTTTCTTTTTTTTTTTTTTTTAAATATGAAATACCAACATTTGTAGGACAAAGTGAGAACTGTGATGTAGGGGAGTGAGAGGAAGTAAGTATATAGGTGGACTATGCATCTTGAAGAACCTTCATGACTGATAAATAGCTTCTGCTGTCAAATGATCATATGTAAGTATGTATAAGACAGCATAAGACTACAGCCCGGATCTCACACAGTCAAAATTATCTGGAGCTGGGTCTTAGAATTCTTCATGCAGATAGTGTAGAGGCATCTCTTAGCAAGTACAACAATGCAGTTTAAACTCTGTGGAATATACTCCTGAAAAGTGGCTTCCACTTAACATTTCTCGTACCAGCTTCTAATGCAACCTATTATCTGTTTCCAAAAGTTCCTATACAGAGATATTCATAACTTTGCCATTCTATGCATGTATAGAGGGGAATGGCCCCTGGGAAGGGTCTGAAAATGTTATTTCTGAAATGTAAAAATATAGGTTGTTTTTGGCATCTAACCTGTGTGGATTTTGCAGCTTTGGAGAGGGTCTAGGAACTAAACCAAATTTATCTCCTGACTCAGTCATCTCCTGCAACACAGTCAAATACTTGACAAGAAAATATTACATAGGGATAATCAGCCATAAGAGGTGTTTTTTATGCTTACAGAAGATATGACACCTGTTATGGAAAGCCTTTTTTTCCTCAATAGGCATAATAATACATCAACATGGAATGTGAGAAAGTGTTCCCTTTAAGTACAGCAGAACCACATTAGGTTACAAAATGGTATAATATTCTTCACACGGCAGGGGAAACATTAATGACACTCTATAAGAAGCAAATACTATACTAAAGGAGAAGCCAGATGGCAGTTGCTGCCAAGTGGATGATTTTGACTCCTTCAGATCAGACACATAATTTAATATAGCTAGGATCATGGAATTTAGAAGAAATTCTGACCACATTGACTGCCAGAAAGAAAACCTAATTCATTTTAGCTAGGATGACACGTCTGATAAAAACTGCCCTACAAGGATACTTTTCAAAAGGAAGGAGGTTGGGCCATTACTCCTTTAGCTCTGCTACTGGAAAGTTTCCATTTTTTATAAGATGCGTGGGAACAATTTTAATGTTCTCCCAGAAGAAAGAGAGAACCTGCCATGAGATGGAACAGGCTATCATAGAGGGGTCATAGAAAATATGTTGGGAGACAGAAGGCTGAGGGATAATATAAAAATGAACAGTCCATGTTTTGGTGATGATTTCCAGCTCTCCACATCTAGAGACCCTGTTCAGTCATGGTAAATGATCACCAAAGAAATGGAAGGAAGAAACACATCTGAGAGGGTGAATGAAGATTGGCTTGAAATTCCAGCCTGAATTATCAAAGGTGTGGCTGGGAACCGGGGTTTCAGTCAAGGTGTTATTTGGACACAAACATCTACTTTTGCATTATCTGTTTTTCCAGCGGACCCTGTTTGGTCTAAGTCACAAGCCTGTAATGGAGAATGGCTATTGCTGAATCAGCATAAGCTGGTAAAAGCTTTCTTTTTAGATATTGAAAGTTAGATAGTTGAAAATAACTCAGTCATATGGACAACTGCCTGAGAATTATTTCAGAAGATTCAGCTCAAGATTAAAATACTTAAATATAGGCACCTAAATGTGGATGTCTACATAGAGCCAGAAATAAACTAAAGTTGGTAAGGTCCTCTGGAAGTCCTTCTACTCCATCACTCAAAGCAGAGCAAACTTCAACTGTAGGGTCTTTTCCAGCTATGTTTTGAATATCTGCAAAAACTAAGATCTAAAATTTTCTCTGGATGACCTGTTCTAACTTTTATCCTCTGTCAGTGATTCCCCCCTCCCCGCCTCTTAATAGCTAATTGGAATTTCCCTTGTTGCAACTTGTTCCCCTTGACTTTCCATTGTGCAACTGTAAGCAGATCTTGGCTCCTTCCTCTTTACACACTCCAATTAGATATTAGTAGACAGCAGTAATCAGATTCTTCCTTTTCCCTTTTCTCCTTCAGGCTGAACAAATCCAACCTCTCCACCCTTCCTCACATATCATGTGCTACAGCCCCTTAATCATCTTGGAGGCCTCCACTGGCTTGGTGTGATATCTCAACGTAAACCTTCCCCTAGAGAGCTCAAAACTTGACACAATACCCCAGGAGCAGTCACACATGCACTCGTCATGCCAAGTGAAGATACAGACAGGGACTCAGCATTGAAAAGGTAACAAACCTATACTCTACATGAATGCCGGACCATTGGTAATATGATAGTAAGGACTGTCCATGAGATACATGTTTTTTTGCCAGTGTCAAAGGTACTGTGAAAAAAACCCCAAGATTAAGCAAAGTAAGAATTACAAGTCTTAATAGCAATTTCTCAATGGATTTAGAAAGGAGTGATGAGCAGAGGGATCTTTTCCAAAGCCAGAAGTCACTGCTGTAATCAAGATGTGAAATAGCATGTGTGGGATTCAATCTAATATTCAGACATGCATTTAATTTGTCTGTGTGCACAATGCATCTAAAATCCCATTATGATCGACGCATATTTTTATTAGAAGTTTGATTCAGTTATAAGTGTCTGAAGCCATTTCAGGTAGTCTATTGAGAAATTTGGTACCTGAGACATCTACAGTCTCAGACTAATGAGACACGACACATCAAGTCTGTACCCTTCTGTAGAGTAGGTGGAGGCCCGGTAAGACACTCTAGAAATCCTCTCACATCACTGGTATCAATTTGTGACCCCCAACATTAAAACTCCATTCAACTCTGGGAGTTTAGAACCTAAATCACATGTAAACACCTGCAAATAAAAACCTGGAGCACAATCCAGTTGCCTAAATCTAGGAATTTAGTAACATTTGAGATTCCTTAATGTATTTGAGATATCCACTCAGTGCTGGAAGATGTGCCACAAACACCAAAGATATCCAGAATAGCCAACCTGTCCAAGAACATCTAAAATGGCACTAGATGCTTACAGTTAAGACAAGTGAATCACGTCCCTAATATTAGAAGTCTTCATACTGAACTGAATCCAATCCTAACTATTTAAGCCAGACAATTAGCTGTGTACAAAAAAAAGAAAGGTTAGGTCATTAGGAAAATTCTAAAACTTAGAGGATTTTCTATGTTTGTTTATGTATCACAACAGGTATGCTGACAGATCTTACCACAGTTATAAACACAAAGGGCTATAATGTGTCAAAGGTATGCTACTGATGGCCACTTCGAACTTTCCTTTCAAGTCCATATAGTGCTGTCTCCGTCTGGTCCCAAAATCTAACTTTCAGATTGTTTTAAAAAACAGGTTAATCCAAGGCTTGCAAAAAAAGAGGGGAGTTGGGGGGGGGGGGGGTGGAAGAGGGAAAAAAATTGCAAATAAAGAAAGCTTTTCTGCTCATCAAATTGTCACGTCATGTGCAAGTCACATGAACATATTTTCTATTTCAAATACTTACAAGCTTCTTGTGGCAGTGACCAGGCTGTGAATTAAATATTTGCTCATCTTTGCCATGATCACCTAAAATTAAGTTTTGTCTTAAAATAGGTTTTTCTGTCTTCATCTCATTTTCTTTTAAATTTTCCAAGTCAGCAACTGGCATTTCAGATCTGACATGTAAGGCCTTATTACCCTCTCCAGCAGCCAACATCTGTAAAAGAAACAGCAAAAAGTCAGTCTATTAATAAAAGGTAAATGAATTAGGATCATATACAGTTTAATTATTATGCTATCCAAATGCTTTGCACTAATAATTCTTACCTTTCAAATATTAAACTACTATCAAAAGATAGGAGTACAAAATGCCATTCACAATACTGAAAGATAAAGCAGGGTTACTTATCAGCTACTGTAATTAAAGTTTGCCCTTGTCACTTTAGATATCATATTTTGTATCTGAATTACAGAATAATATGGTGTATCTTTTTACTCTCTTCTTCTTGCTTTGGAAAGGACCTTGAGCCCAAAGATAACAGAAGACTAAGGGCTCAAACTAAATCCTAAAATGTTAAACCTTTCTTAACTAGTAATCCTGTTGAAAGAAAAATATAAGGGAGAAAAGCCTAAGTAAAGCTTTGCAAGCTGGAATTTCAGACAGAGAAACATTACAGGCCTGTCAACAGCCGTAGAGGAGGAATTTGGTAAACCAGTGATGCCTTTCATTTAACGATGAAATTGGATAGTTGCCACAGAATATTCGTATGTCCTTTCACAAGTCTGTCTTTTCTGATTGTTAGCACTAAATCACATGTATCTTTTATAAAAAGTTAGGAGATAAATATGCCTTAGAATAATTTTCGATCTATCTTGTTGCCTCAGCTCAGAGCTTCAATTCTCAGGAATAAAATAAAGAGAACAAGGTGATCCCTAGTCCCCTACAAGCCAAGGAATGAATGAAACTAGGCACTACCGTGCCAAGAGGAAACACTGTAGAAATCTGATGTATGTCTAGTAGTCCACCAAACCAACATAAATAAATTAATATAGTCTCTGGGTGTATTTCTACATTAATATGGAACTAATGGCATTAGCCTGGCCAAAGACTATTCCTGCTCTTGTCAACTGGTAGACCTTCTGCAAGCAATCACTCAAAAAGAGGCATGACACCCCTTAAATAGCTGAGCACGGTGGCTCTCAGCAAGCTTGCATTTTTAATCAATCCCAAAATCTATCAGCATCAGAACTTCCAATCTCAGGGAACTGTAGAAATGACAACTACTCTTCTGGATGCAAATTTATCCACTCATACTTCCTTCCTCAGATTACGCAGTAATAGCTAGAAGGAATATCCAGAGAAAAACAATAGTGGTATTGTACAAGAATGGGGGAAACTACAGAGCGCAGGCACTTATGCAACACCATAAAAGCTATATATTTGCCAGCAAGCTATTCCTATACAATGTCAGGTCTTCAAACCCTAAAACTTAATATGATTTGACTTGGACTGCTGTTTGCAGTCTGCTCATGCTGTTTGTTTGTATCACAGAAATGTTTATATATATTTAGATATATATATACATACAGGTGTATTTATAAAGAAAGAGAAAGAGAAATGAAGTGTGAGAAAGTATTGTAAGAAGCACAGCTTAACTAAAAACCTTATTTCTCTAATTCAGACAGAAGAAAACAAAAGGAACCACATATTATGTATTATACATAGCAATTTACAAACCTTTTCTTTCTCTAGAATTTGTTTGGCATCCTGAAGTAATTTTTCCTTTGCCGCTGTTTCAGCAAGAGTAGCCCTATTTTGCTCTTCATATGCCATAGTTACTACAGCCAAGATCAGATTGAAGAGATAAAATGAGCATAAAAAGATGACCCCCATAAAAAATAAAATGTAGTTCTTTCCAGATGTACGGATAGTCTGTGAGGAAAAGGTAAAGGTTGTAATAAATTCTTAACAAACTAACATTTAAAATAGAATTTCAAACTGACTTTAAAAAAAATTATTTTCCTATACAATACAAAAGGTCAAGATACTGCACTGTTTTCTTTAAATAACAATAGGATCTACCTCTGGTCTAAGTTATGCAGAAGGTCTAAAAATACATCTAGTCAGGAGTTCCCTGGCCTTCAAGTAAATAAATTTCAGCTCTTAAAAACTTCTCTGTGATAACACAATGTTTCCTCTTTATGTAACAGACCATCAAACATTCATAAGAATTAACAAAATCCATTCTTAAAATGAAATTAAATATCTCCCAGCAAATTGGGCAAACGATCATCAGAGTTTAGGTTATGAGATGACAACTTCAGCTGTAAAGAGGTGACTACACAAGAAATTAATAAAACTCAGTAATAAGGATGAAAGCTAGGATTATCTAAACAATCATGAAAGATGCTATAATTAGTGAATCAGGGGCAATATTAGACTGATTGCTTATTCTTACCTTTTTTTTTAAAAAAATGGAAGCAGAGGAGATGGCTCAAAATTAAGCTCTGAGACATTAAAAACTAAAAAAATATGTGACTTCCAAATGGCAAAAAGAAGATGTATCCATTTTAAAAAATCTCAGTTAATAAAAATTGCTGAAAAGAAGTTAAAGTGGACCATATAAAGACTGTAGAACAAGGGTGAGGATGATTCCCTTCTGGCAAAGGCACCGCATAGACGTAAGGGATCCAGAGAGTTCTCTACATGCAACTTTTGTATCATTTTTGTAAAAAAAACCCCAGAATTTGAAAGTTATGTTCAATTCTCTGAATCAAAACATAATGGCTCAAATTTTTTTAGTACCAGTTGTCAAAAATTTTCTGAAATGTAAGTGCAAATGTTGAGCCAAAAGCTTTGGTGAGGAGTCAGGACTTAAAAGGAAGAGAAAGACAGTGTGTAACAAGTCCTTATATCCCCTGCAGCAGCAGTGAGCTCACTAGCCAGATCTGTTGTATACCCCAGTCTTTCGGCAGTTACATATTAACATTTAACTACTAATCACTGACTCAGGCGTGCTCTCCAACAAGAGTATGAGCATTCACAGCAGGATTACTCCCATCCCATGCCACTCGCAGAAGGTGTTACAACTTGGTGACTTGAAGCTACTTCCCTAATATTTACATTGATTTTAAAAGAAATTTGGCATCAGTAACGTTAAAACAGGTGCAGATTTTTCTAGTGGACATAAAACTCCAAACCGCGTGTCTAAAGTCATTCTAGCAGGTAACTAAAGTACCTACTTGTCTGTAGAGACGCTCCCAGCAATCCTGCGTCATCAGACGGAATAAAGAAAGGAAGGCCCAGCCAAAATGATCAAAACTTGTATAACCAAAGTCAGGATTCTTCCCAGCCTTCTTGCAGGTATAGTTTTCTGGGCACTCTTTGCTAACCACAAAAGAAATGTTAAATAATAATTACTTGCAGTACTAGATTGTATCTGAAAGTATCCAGTACACAATATCAAATATAGATTTGTTCAGTTTATCTGAAAGTCCATTTCATTATTCCCCAATATAATTCTGCCAGAAGGGCTGATTTGTATCAGACAATCCTAGAAAGCCATTTGTCTGGTCAAAGAAACTGTACAGAAACTCTAGTTCTGTCTAGTTTCTGACTTGACAGAAACTCTCCACTAGTGCAGGACACATGCAAACAAGTACATAGAGAAGGGAAAAAAATGGAAATATGTTTAGTTTTAAATAATTCCCCAAGGTGATGACAGTTTATTAATATATCACAATTCTTTACTGATCTGTCCCCCTCCTCCTTTGTATCACTCTACATTACCATTATATCACCAGTGGTTAGCAACAAAGCACGAGTATAATTGCTTGCATCCTAGTATTTCAATTCATTCTTTTTCTGATGTGAAATACCTGGTTTTTAATTTAATAGTGCACACACACACATTCCACCCTCCTGAAAAATCATAAGCATTCCTTTAGGCCAAAAATAAAACCACAGTACATCTGGAGGAAAAAATAAGAAAGTACTAAAACTGTTTTGTTCACTTACTTAGGTTCTGAACTGAACCCACAAAGCAGTATTTCAGAAGATTTATTCATTCTGTAGCAGATATTTACTAAAAAAAAAAAATAAAAATCAAGGAATCATAAAAGCAGAAATGGTCAGTTCCTACAGCACTCTGACAGTAAACTATACACTACTGCACATTAAAAAACACCCTGATGGACCAAATCTCTGTGAAAGACTGCTTTCACGACAAAGGGCATATAGAGCTGTTTCTCAGCAGATCTGTCCCTATGGCAATTTTTTTTTTTAAAAAAAAAGTATTAACTGCACAACTCAAAATGTAAGATTTTATTTAAAATAAATTCTTACTCCAGTAAAAGTAAGAATCTTTGCAAGAAGTAGGCAAAATCCCTGAACAATATGGCTCAAGCAATGGAAAAAATCATTCTCTGTGTAGAACCCCTAAATTTAGGACCCCCATGCAATGTGCACAGCTAAAGAAAATGCTTATAGAAAACTCAGTTCCTTCTATCCCACAGACTGCTAATGTTACTCCAAATCCCAGATTTACTAATCTTATATTCAGTTGTCCCAGAGACTTCATATTACTACTTGTGCAAATGGAACGACGTAACTCCTTGTGAGAAATACAGGCAACTATATTTTAACATCTCTGTGAAAAAACAAGACATACATAGGAAGATATACATGTTATGTAAAGGGAGAAAAGAATAAAATTTACCTTCATCATCTGGTGAATATATCTTGGCATCCTTACATAACTTGTCATTGAATTCAGTATTATTGAGGACACATTTGGCCGTTAAATTGCCCATAAAAAGCTGTAGGCCTATTAGAGCAAATACACTCAAGCAAAAAACAGTCAAGATCAACACATCAGTAAGTTTCTTAACAGATTCAATAAGTGAATTTACGATGACTTTCAGACCTAGAAAATAAGATTCAATAATACGCAAAATGAGAAGAGGAATACAGTAGTGTTCCCATATAGCAATATACAACTGTTGCAAGTATGTAAAAAACAATCAGTGTAAATGGTTTTATAACTTCAAAGTATTAAATGAGGTAAAATAAAGCATAGGAGGGAGTAAAGTATTTTTGCTTAAATTTCCTAATCATAACTTATTTAGCTTTTACTTCCTTCTAACACAAATTTTGCTAACTTGAAAATTCTAAATTAAGATGCATCTAAGCAAACTCTTACAAACTTTAATGACAGATTTCTGTGCTTGATTAACATTAAACAAGTACTTCACATTCTGCAACTAAACATTACAATACAGCATAGCTTCTGCTGACCTCAAGGAATTCTGTCTTAGAAGATAATGCCTTACAGATGTCACCAGTTTAAAAGCAAAAGAACATTTATGACACTGGGAAGGGAACATATATATGTTGAGGACCACCCAGCAGGAAAGCAGCTTGGCAGAAAAACACCTGGGAGTTCTGGTGGACACGAAGATTAACATAAGCCAGCAATGGTCCCTTGCGACAAAGGAGGCAAAGCATGGCCAGCAGCTCCAGGGAGGTGATCATCCCCCTCTCCTCAGCACTGGTGAGCCCACACCTGGAACACTGGCTCCAATTCTGGGCTCGCCAGTACAAGAGACACATGAGCATACTGGAGATAGTCCAGCAAAGGGCCACAAAGATGATGGAAGGACTGGAGCACCTCTCCCATGAAGAAAAGGCTGAGAGAGCTGGGACTGTTGGAGAAGAGAAGGTTTTGGGGGGGCACCTCATCAATGTATATAAATATCTGAAGGGAAAGCGTGAAAAAGGGAGAGCCAGGCTTTCTTCAGTGGTGCCCAGTGGCAGGACCAGAGGTCATGGGCACAAACTGAAACAGAGGAGGTTCCCTCTGAACATCAGGAAACACTTTTTTATTGTGGGGGGGGACCGAGCACTGGTCAGGTGCCCTGGGAGGTTGTGGAGTCTCCATCCTTGGAGATATTCAAAAGCCATTTGGAAACAGTTCCAGGAAACCAGCTCTAGATAGTCCTGCTTGAGCAGGGGGGGTTGGACCAGATGACCTCCAGAGGTCCCTTCCAACGTCAACCATTCTGTGATTCTGTGCAAATGGATTATATATAAACTGAAGACCAATATTCTGGCAGAATAACTGAATTTGAAATATGACATAGGCAGAGAGTGATATCCAGGATTTTTCTAGAAGTCTTTCATAAGAAAAAAGTAAAATTACGTTTAATGTCTGTTTCCCATGATGAATATGAAAGGAAAAGTAATGAGTAGTTTTGACATCAAAAATTAAACACTTCATATGTTTAATTCCTCTTATAGTTCCATAGCAAATTGAAAAATGTATTTGTAATTATATAGAAATGGTAAACTTTATGTATTTTATGACAATAGGATATATAGCCATTTATAGATTTTCAAATGAGTTTTTGCAGGTAGACTCTGAAATCCATAGTTTGGCATGCTAATTAGTGGTACAACTTACAAAAATATTGAATATCTGGACAGCATATGCAAAATATTGTTGAAAGAATTGTGCTCAATCCAGATAGTGGCTGTGGTCAGTAAAAAAATGAAACTATGAAATGTTGTGAAGTCAACGTTCTGGAAAATAAACCATAGAAGACTGAGCTAAGCAAGTAGAATGTGAAACCAGAAATATGGTGGTATATCCATATTATGTTAAGACAACGTATTGAATAGGCTGGTGAGGAACGACAAAAGGAAAAAGACAAAGGCACTGGGCTAAGTAGAAGGGATCATTAGGGATGGAATATAAAAAGCAGGAAATACAAAAATTTGTCTGCATCAACATAATTTTGAGGGAAGATGATAAAAAAATTTCGGTTAGGATGCTGCTGAGAGTTACTACAGACTGCAAAACAGTCACACCTTGGGATCCCATTAACCACCACAAAAAGTTACCAGAAAACTGATAACCAGAAAAGGAGAGGAATTAGAAATAGCATACTGCTGAAGCAGAGAGAAAATTAGTAAGACATGTCGTTCCTTACCTGGTATTACTGAAATAGCTTTCAGAGTCCTCAGTACTCTGAAAGTTCGAAGAGCTGAAACCTTGCCCATACTTCTACACAAAGAAATATACCTACAAAATTAAACCACGACATAACTGAATGACAAAGGTCTAGATTTCAAAGCATATGCATATTGAGCACACAGTAATGAATAAGTTACAGAAAATAAATAGGTCAAATACGTCCTAAGGTAAATGCCTAAAGTTAGGAATCTAAGTCCATTTCTAGGTATTGATACAAAATTATGTGACTTTTGAATAGTGCCTCTGAAAAGAAACACAGTAAGTTTTTACTTAGTGTGGATTTGGATGGTTAACTTTTAAAGTGGCTATCCATCAAAATGTTAAATATAAAACCTTCAATGTCATAACCACACCCTATCATACCAAGGCTAATCTGATTTAGACCACATGAAAATACCCGTTGCAGTTATCTCAAAACTACACAATATATACTTCAGGAGAAGAAGCAAAACCAGGTTCACAATATGTTAATTCTGTACCACATGGCTCTCTTTCTAACTTTTATTTAAGTCAGCTAAAAACTTGAGTATTGAAACTAGCTTCAATTTGATTATTTCAACTATTTGAAAATTTCAGAAAATTAGGATTTTAAGAGTTGTGTATTCTATACAGCACTTTAACAGGTTACCCTGTATTTTATAAGACTTCTTTCATGTCAGAATGGACATGAATTGTGACTCATCTTATGACAATGTCATAACTGGTAACAGAATTCCTTAAAATAAAAGGACTCACAATCTGAGAAACACTGGTTGGAAAGGACCTCTGGAGGTGATCTAGGCAATCGCCCACTCAAAGCATGACTCAAAAGTCAGCAATAGATCAGAACACTATGGTCTTGCCATGCCTGTAACATTCAATAATTCTCAAATACCTTAATAACTGCTCTTGAGTTAACTGTTATTTTCCAAATACTTTTATTTGTTGCATGACTGGACCCCCAAAAAACAGGAGATACTATATTGCAAAGTGTTTATATCTGCGTGAACACAAATGAATTGGGAGTATGGGTAGGGAAGTAGGACCATAAAATGAAATTGTTCATACAGCTCTTGGAGTACTTCATAGCTGCTGATGATTAACAATGTCAAAGCTCTTCAGTGGTTTATAGATTACCCATAAGAATACTTTGTTCATATACATATATATGTGTGTGATGACATCTGAGTACATAACCTACTATTTACAAATAAGGAAAAACCGGTCAGGGATATGACAGTGGATGGCAGCCTTTGCTACGAAACCCATGAGATGGTGGAATTTAAGACCCTGAGAGATGTAAGAAAGATGAACAGCAGAATAAAAATCTTGGACTTTAGGACAATGTGTTCAGGGATCTGAACCTGCCCCAAAGGGAAAAGCGGCCCCCAGAACAGCTGGTTGATCTTCAAGGGTATTTTCTTCAAAGCACAGGAACAACACACTGTACTCTGTAGAAAGTCAAGTGCATGTGGCAGAAAACCAGCTTGTCTGAACTGACTAATCTCATATTGAGAAAGGAAGTGTGCAGAAGGTTGAAGCAGAGATAGCTCTGGGAAAGGACACCAAGACGTTGCCAAGCATGCAGGGATGACACAAGGAAGGACAAAGTTCAGCTGAAGTTAAAGGTAGCAAGGGATGTGAAGGGCAATAACAAGGGCTACTTTAAGTGCACCAGCGGTGAAAAGGAAGCTGTGGGTCTGTTGTTCAAGGAGGCAGGGAACCTAGTGACAAAGGACATGCAAAAGCTGAAACTACTCAATGCCGCCCTCAGTCCTCCCAGGTCCCTGAGTCTACTGTCAAAATCTGGGGAAGTGAAATATTATCCATGCATCTACGTGCTGTGATCAAAGGGACAAAGTTCAGCTGGCAGCTGGTTACTAGTGGTATCCCTCATGGAACAGTCCTGAGGCCAACATCGTTTAAAAATTTCATTAACATCCTGAAGAATGGAATAGAGTTTGCCTTCAACAAGTTCACAAATACTAACTTGGGGGTGGGGGAGCAGTCAATACACTGGTGGCAAGGCTGCTCTGTAGGGTGAGCTTGACAGACGAGTTATGGGCTGTAGAAACCTCATGAAGCTGAGGAAGTGCAAAGGCGAAGTCTTGCACCTGAGTCAGCAGGACCGCAAGTGGGAGCTGAGGGCAGACTGGATTGATTGGCAGCTTTGCAGAAAAGGACCTGGGCAGGCAAACGGAACATGAATGAGCAGAGCACTCTTGTGACACAGAATGCTTATCACATACTGGGTTAGATGAGCACAAGTCTAGCTCATATGTGGAGAAGTCTAGTTTATACATTGAAAGAGTGATTTCTGAGACTGAATCTGGAGTACTGTGTCCAGCTTTGAGCTCTCCAGGGCAAGAAAGACATTTTAGATACTGGAGCAGGTCCAAACAGGGCTCTAAGGAGGGCAGTAAGACAATTATATGGTTAAATTATTAGGCTGAATTGGATTTGCTGAGTCTGAAGAAGAGCAGGCTAGAGGGGTAATGGAGCAGGAATCTCATTGCTGTCTTCAGCTGCCCACGTAAGGGCCTAGAGAAGACAGAGAAGATGGAGCTAGGCTGTTTTTGGAAGCTCACCATAAAAGTATCAGAGGCAGCAGACCTAAGTTGCTACACGAAACATTTCAATTAGAAATTTGGGAATAAAAAAACCACAACGTGATTAGAATGGGTTGCTTAGAGAGGTTGTTGAATCTCCGTGATCAGAGAAACTCAGAACTTGACTGGATGAAGTCCTGAGCAACTTAATCTAAATTAGTCCTGCTTTTAGCATGGAGCTGGACCACGTGATCTCCAGAGGCCCCTTCCAATCTAAATTATTCTACACCTCTGATAAATTAGAACAAGACAACTGAAAACTATTCAGAATTATAAATAACAGAGATTTGGTTTGAAAGCTCTGAGACTGGGCATCTGTTCACTGCTGCAAGTAAGACTATTTTGCTTCCGAGATTAACATTCTGTATTTGAGATGCAAATTCTGACTTGCATTGTTCCTCAATTCTTGTCCGCCTAGGTTTTGATATGAATTGACCCCAGCAGTGATCCATCTGGCCTATTACCCTGTCTTCAAGAATGACCCACAACAGATGCTTTAATTCTCCCAGCAAATTTATAGCTTTTTATAGCTCAGGGACTTCCTGAGCAAGACATAGTATCTTTGAGTTAAAAATAACCCTTAACGTGTTTTCATCCAGGATTTTATTCAGAAGCCTTCTGAATGCAACCAAGTTTTTTGCATGGACAACCTTCTATGGGAATATGCCTACACAGTGTGAAAAACTACTCCCTTCTTTTTTATTTTGCCATCTGACAACTTCATTTGGTGCCTTTAGCTCTCATCGTAAGAGAAAAAAAAAAAAAAAACAAAGAAAATTATTTATTCTCTTTTTGGCTCTGTGCCACAGACTTCAATCATGTTCCTGCTCTGTATTTTTTTCATGAGTTCTACTCTATTTAATTTCTTATTATGTGGAATACAAGATACGCATCTTCTCTGTATCTTTTTTTAATTCTGTCATCTTTTGAGATGTATATAGTCCTGAAGAAAAATACAGGCCACACAGTGAAATAACTATGTGTTCTGCTTTTTTCTTTATTTCTTACCCCTAATGTCCTCATTTTCCATTTCCTTCTCTGACCATGATTGCACACTAGAGTGGTGTTTTCACAAGACTGTCTATTTTAAAAACAACATCGTCTTCCCAACAAGGGAAAGCTATTTCAGAACCCATAACTGTGTATGTAAAGCTAGGTCTGTTTTTCTTTGAGCATCACTTTACATTCTTGGGATTTCATCGGCTATTTATCACCATGTCATTCAATACCTTGTGACCCACTTTGGATCCTTCTCAAATTAGTTTCATCTGTTCCAGCGTAAAACTAAGACAATAAAAAGAGGCATGTTTGGTTTTGGCTGTTCTATGCAATCACCTCTTAACAAAAAATACATACATACTAAATTGAGATCAACCAAACAATTCTAAGATGAGCTTTGCATTTAGGTATTGCTTTACAGTCTATAACCATTTTTCTCTTTGCAGATATGCAAAGGGTGATTCAACCACAGTAACTCTTAAGCAGGTAGGATGCTAACCACTCTAAAGAACTTCAGAAATATGAAATAGCATTTTATCCTGCATGTTTGCCCCTTATGTGTAAACAAACAACTGAGTTTTACTTACGTTATGACAATAACGACAAGATCCAAGCAGTTCCACGGATCTCGAAGAAAGGTAAATTCATTCCAAACAAATCCTCTTGCCAACACCTTTATCAATATTTCAACAGTATATATGCCAGTGAAAAGACCTCTGAGAAGAAAAGTGTATATTAAAGTTATAGAAATAAAAATATTAATGAGAGTTAGACACATTCAGGCATATTTCTACCTTTTCTATGATTTAGTCACTGGATGGAGATGAAGGTAGAAAACGTGAAGTAAAATAGGACAGATTACACTACTTTCAGGAACTTCATGGGTATAAGAAGATGCCTTCCTGAATTTTAGTAAGATTTCCATGTAAACGTAATCACAAATGTTCACATAAGCACATGAAACTATTTCTAGATGAAGGATAGCTCACATCTCCTTGCGAAAAATTTTTAAGGCTGTTTATGTTCTAAAGTCTCAATTTCAAAGCCTCAACATTTTGGCAGAACAACAATAGCAAAGACTTATTTTAGCCTGTAAAGTTTGCACATTTTATACATTTATTCTGACAAACACTCTATAACTGAAAGAAATCCCACATAAAATTAAGATATCATTATCAACATGCTCACCCCAAAATAAGAGGAATTAAAATTATAGAACTTCTGGGGCCCCAGGCACATTTTCAAGATTTAATTCCAGAACACTACCTCAAGTTACAAAGGACACAGGGCACAATTACAAAAGGTAATAAGGCATTATAAACAGACAGCCTCCTAATGTGAACAACTGAACCAGGGCTGTCTCCAGGAAACAGCAAGAGAGAATGGAATGAATATTTACCCCTTTATATTTTTTGCATGAGATGGCCATAACAGACATTCACGTTATTGCCTTAGAATGAGAGATATTAAGACAGAATTCTGGTGCACAGCCTCTCTAAAAAGCTTAATCCTTAAAAAGAAAAATGGGGCAACCTTCTATGTTACACCAGATGGCAAAATTAGCCAATATAGAGAAAAGGGCATACGGTGTAAGCCTCTAAGAAAAGGCACTGGAGCTCCACGGAAGACTGTGTGATATAACAATCCATAACACTATTCCAGCCAAAACCAACACAATCCTAAATCATCCTCAGAGGTCTGTCTGAGAAATTTCAAGCCGCAGAACTATATCACCACATTATTTAAATTTTTGAGTCCAGCATGTTAGTATCCTTGGAAAATGAGTGAAGAAACGGCCACTGAGATACTTACTCAGTCCAGTTTAGTGCATCTGGAAGCTGATTTACAGCCATGGAAACACAATTGAGTATCACAGTACATGTTATAAAGCCAACAAATAATGTGAATAATAAGTTAAGGATAAAGTACTATACTATAAAAGAATGAAGTTGCTGATTTACACGCGAAAAAAAAAACCCAACATACAGATATTCAAATAATTACTTTGGGTTTGAATATGTTCAGGGCTTTTCATGCGTTTTCCAAAGAAAATTATGTCAGATCAAACTTCTGCTCAGCTTGGTAAACTTCATGATTTAAAAATAACAATGAACTATCTGCATGTGGAGATAATTTTGGAAGTTCGGACATTAGAGAGACATAACATGTTTGACAGAAGAGATGAGGTATATATAAAAAAAAAAAAAGAAAAAAATCTGAGTCCTCTGCTGTCTACTCTTATTTGAAACTTTAGAAACCTCAATTTCTTCCCAGCAAGAGCATGGAATAAAGAGAAATGGGCCACAACCCCATAATAACTAGGGGGTTTAAGCCTAGGAAAGCCAGATGAAAAAGCTTAATTATCAATAATCAGTGTTCTTTGAAACTGGGAGTCCACATATACATTCTTACAAGAGACACTTATGCTCTCTCACGAGTTCAGAAAACTTTCTCATTTTATGTGGCAGGTGATGAAAAAACACGTAAGAAAAAAACATCCTTTCAGGCAAGTTCACTTGTCAACTAATAGAAGTGCGGGTTTATTTAAACCAAACATTTGCCTTAAATTTAGGATTGATTTGAAAACTGAACAGCAAATTTAGTAATTGCTAATAGCATGAATACACATTCGAAGCCAGCAACAAGTTCCCATAAAAGGACCTATTTCTGCAAATCAGTAATTCCAAATGAAAGCAGATGTTTGGCAGAAAGAGCAGAAACTACTTAGCCTATTGTTTTGCACCTGCTATCCTTCACATTTTTACATTCTTCAAACTACATTTACATTTTTGCAAAAATATAAAAAATGGGTGCTCTTCAGAACTTTCTAAACTTGAGCATGAAATACTTTTCTTAGGGTAACACCAGACTTCCAGCAAAGCATTGCTGTAAATCATATCCTTCATGTTTTAATAACGAGGGAGTCACTGGTTTGTGTTTTGGGTTGTTTTTTTTAATTTAAGCTTGTCACCACAGTAGAGATTCAGAAAAAGTTATAGAAAATGGCTAAAATATCATACAGTAGCCTCTAAATGTTGTTTCATAACAAGGTCTGCAAATCTGACTTTAAATATGAGCTTTTTGACATTTTTACTTATACAAACACCATGTAAATACCTTAGCTGTTGTAAAACAAGAATCAATATAAATTTTTAAAAATCTTTATCACAGCCACATGAGCTCACAATTACATTAATATGAACAGAGGAACAGAATGACAGTAAATAGAATCATAGGTTGGAAAAGACATTTAAGATCATCAAATCCAACTGTTTAATGGCTAAATGGTACAGTATATTTTAAAACTGAAATAAGGGAAACCAATAAAAGGATATGAATGAGTCAGAATTTTAATTGCTGCTCTTCTGACTGGATTAAAAGGACCAACTATACACAAGGCAGGTGTGGCAGTAAATCGGAAAATAGTCCTCCTTTTATTTATCACCATAAAAGTCTATAAAAAAAAAAAAAAAAAGATTCACAGTATATGAAATATTTTAATGAAACAAAATTTTCCCCAAAAATTAAATGTTTAGGTTTTCAAATCTGCCTTTAGAATTATATCTAACTGCAATTATGAATAAAGCTTTCCTGTATTCTGACCTGGAGCTGTCACCTGATGATACTGCATTTTGAAAGAAAGACACCAGCTATATGAAAGTTCATTATTGCCTGTGAGGAAGAAGTAGTAATGGGAATGAATTTGAAGAGCAAGCGATCATATTCGCTTGGTCAAGGTAATTAAAGGATACTATTCTGGGACTGCAACAATGGTGTTAATCATACTCAAAAGTACTTTTCTCTTGGATAGTTTTATAGGCTACAAAAGTTCATTTACAAAACATACATTGTGTAGGACTGCAAGAATCCAGTCCAGCCAAAGCTGGATATTTTGAAATATCTCTAACTTATCAAGTAACATTGTAAATTCACTCTAAGCTACCTTAAGGTCTAAGCAGCTCAGTACTTTTGTCACAGGAATTAAAAATGAAATCTCTTAAATCAAAAACATGGTTCACTTTGATCCAAATTTCTTCAGCTGAATCAGCCTTAGTTTCTCTTCACCAAGGATATCACCTCAATTACTCCGAGAAATAAAAATCTCTGGAAGAACAAAGCTTTCTGCACGTTCTCCGATTAAATTATGATATTCCAGTGACTTGCTGGTATACATAAAAGACAGCAACATAGGACTGGATCGAACCTTCTGCTCTTCAGGTCAAGATGACACCCCCTCAATAGCGAGCAATCATACAATAGGCATTTCATTTAGAAGGGATTCCTAGAGCATCTACTTTACATACTCCTATAGGCAACAACACAAAACACTTCGCAATAGCATGGAGTATATGCAATATAAATATGGTACAATAAACAAAGCTGATAAGACATAAAATAACAGAAAACTAATTTACTCTAAAGTAAATATATGTTTTTGCTACACAGAGCACTGGAAATATCTCAATTATGTCTCCCCTAATTTGTATAATATTTGTAATTCAGCAAAAACATCTGCAGTAAGTCAACAATTCCAGAGTGATCTACTGTTTGACAGGCACTGTTTCTACAACAGTGAGTTCAGCCCCACAGACATCACAGAAAACTGCTCTGGAAAATGAAGCATCAGTTATCCCAGAACATATTTCCAAGATGTTCAAATGTATCATGTTTTCATAATTAATTCTGATTGCTGACTGGAACTTAAAATACCTTTTCATTACAAATGTGGAGCAGACATTAGCACTCCTGCCCTAAAAAACTGCTAGTAATGTTACAAGATCTGTCTACAGAACGATAAAAAAACAGCATCTCCTGAATAGATGTTTTACTATCTCTTAAGAGTTCAGCAAACAAAATTAAATAAAAAAAATTTTTTTAAGGTTTCAACCTTGTGATCACTGTAGTATGGATCAATATCTTCCAGGGGTTCCCCAATGAGCTCCACAGGAACATCCCCATACAGAGATGGCAGCTTTTTGCAGGTTTTCAGATCAAGCTGTGGAGTAAGTTTATCTTCTCCAACTGCTTGGTCCTTATTCTCCTGGTTAACTTTGGCTTGCTGCTTTTTTTTCTCAGCAATTCTTTCATCAATTGCTGCCAAGGACTCAGGGGTGAAACGTCGAAAGTTAGTTTCTGATGGCCAAAACAAGGGATCCATTTTTCCTTCTATATGTTTGTTTCCAGTGCTAGAAGTAACTTAAGAGAAAGTTATTGACAATTAGAAAAAAAAACAAAAACAACCAGAAATAATTACAACTTAAAGATAAATTAGCTTAATTATTTCTTCCTTCTGTGAAACACCATATGAAGATTGTATGCATCCTGGGCTACATCAAAAGAAGCATGGCCAGAAGGTCATGGGAGGCAATTCTGCCCCTCTACTCTGCCCTGGTGAAACCCCACCTGGAATACTGCGTCCAGCTATGGAGCCTTCAGCACGGAAAAGACATGGACCTGTTGGAGTGAGTCCAGAGGAGGGCCACAAAGATGATCAGAGGGCTGGAGCACCTCTGCTATGAGGACAGACTGAGAGAGCTGGGGTTGTTCAGCCTGGAGAAGAGAAGGCTCTGGGAAGACCTTTTTGTGGCCTTCCAGTGCCTAAAGGGGGCCTACAGAAAAGATGGGGAGACATTCTTCATTAGGGAGTAGAGTGATAGGACAAGGCATAACAGTTTTTAACTGGAAGAAGGTATATTTAGATTAGATATTAGGAAGAAATTCTTTACTGTCAGGGTGGTGAGACACTGGCTCAGGTTGCCCAGAGAAGCTGGAGGTGTTCAAGGCCAGGCTGGATGGGGCTTTGAGCAAGCTGGTCTAGTGGGAGGTGTCCTTGCCCAGGGCCGGGGGGTTGGAACTGGATGATCTTTAAGGTCCTTCCAACTCTAATCATTCTATGATTCTATGAGAATGGAATGGAATGGAATTCGAGGAGAATGAAATGGAATGGAATGGAATGTTCCCTTCGGTTGGAAGGAACCTACAACGATCACCTAGTCCAACTGCCTGACCAATTCAGGACTGACCAAAAGTTAAAGCATGTTATTAAGGGCACTATCCAAATGTCTCTTAAACATTGACAAGCTGGGGGCATCGACCCCCTCTCCAGGAAGTCTGTTCCAGTGTTTGATCACCCTCTCAGTAAAGAAATGCTTCCCAGTGTCCATGCTAAACCCCTTGGTGCATCTTTGAACTATTCCCAGGCATCCTAACACTGGATCCCAGGGAGAAGAGCCCAGCACCTCCCTCTCCACCCTCCCCTCCTCAGGAAGCTGCAGAGACAATCAGGTCCCCCCCCTCAAGCCTCCTTTTCTCCAAATGAGACAAGCCCAAAGTCCTCAGCTGCTCCTCACAGGACACTCCTCCCAGCCCAGTCACCAGCTTTGTTGCCCTTCTCAGGACACATTCAAGGACCTTCACATCCTTCTTAAATTGTGGGGCCCAGAACTGCACACAGTGCTCCAGCTGAGGCCGCACCACTGCTGAACACAGCAGGATGATCACCTCTCTTGACCAGCTGGTTATGAGGTATTTGATGCACCCCAGGATATAAAGCAAAACCAACCAGAAGCATGTTCATTAAGAAAAAAGGGTAATGTAAAACAAAATTGATAAAGATCAACAACTGATTCTGAATCTACTCTCTATAATTCTGGTTGCAGAAGAGATACTTTCTTCCTTTGCCTTTCCAGCTAGGAAGCGACAAAATCACATCTCTATCAGAACTCTGACAATCACCTAATTGTTTCTCTCTGTAAAGCAGCTTACAGTATCGGCAGCCTTCCACCTCAGTTACTGTACCTCTGTACTTCTTGCAAACGGAAGTTAGTTCCATATCTACCACCCCTGCTGCTTACATGGGATCACAAAACAGTCTAATTAGAAAGGACCCTGAGGCTCAACAGATCCATCCCCTGCTCAAAGCAAGGCCAACATTGACTTCGGCTCAAGGCTTTGTCCAGTTGACTTGAGTACATCCAAGGAGATATTTATGCCTTGTAGTAAAAACAACATAAGAAATGGCAGGTTTTACCTTACTGGTCTTGAGTTTTGCTCTCCTCTGATTCTGCTGATATGTCATGTTTGTGCTTTGCTCTTCCTGTTCCTCAGACCCTTAACTCTTTCCAAAACCCTTATGCTGTTTAGTTATGGCTGAAAAGCTCTGCTTGTGAGGGTTTTTTCTAATTTTGTTAAGTAGTAAACTGAGAGCATGGCCGCAACTAAGACTTTACCATATATGATTTGATGGAAGAATATTTGCATTGACATTAAATAACAAAATGTATTACAAACTTTTAGAAACCTAGGCAAAAAACAAGATGCAGTGTCTGGGAAACATCCAAGTTTCAAATATACCTCCAGATTTCCTGAATTTTTATAAGACATCTATTGAAATTAATTTACCTTGACATGAGTTATTACAAGCGTACAAAAGGTATGGTGCATCACACTACAAAGTGTAGCATGCTGCTTGATATTATTTCACCAACTGCTGACAATGAGTCCTGCATACTTTCACACCAAGACTTGGTAATGAAGAATCATTTAGTACACAGTTTTCAAAAAAGTACAGTAACACCAGTGACAGAAATGGGATAGCTGCTGTGCTTAATTCTGCATGTGACCATCCCTGTTCTGTGGGCTTCGAAAAACCAGGGACCTGCACTTCCTCAATACAAACTTCACTAGGAGGTCATTTGATTACTGGTTATCCCTCATAAAGCTCTGCACCCGCTGACTGTTACGCAGAATTTAAACAATCTAAAGACACCATAAAGGACTAATACAAACCAAATAATTAAGTAAATCCGGTATTGCCCTCCTCACAACTGCATGTCAATAGGAGGATAGTTTCTCCTAGAATCTCACAGGTGCCTGAATGCTTTGTGGCTCTGCACCAGAGCATCTGCTGTTTCTGGAGATGTTGGTTATGTCTATTTGTTTAATAACTACTCTTTTCCACACATCAGAGGAAACAAATTTAATTACTATTAACTACTTGGATTTTGATCCGAGTCATTGACTTGTTTATTCATGCTGACAGGTATAGGTCAACTCTGCTTCCCATACCAGACTGGGAAAAGGCAAACATGAGGAAGCAAATTCACCTTCTCACATATGCACAAATACTGCAAATCTTCTGAGGATTAGCAGAGTATCTTCAAGAATTTATTTTCAATTATTCTGCTTGAGGTTAAATCACTGACAAAGAGGAAAGGTGTCAAGGTAAAGAGGAGCACTGAAGCGACCTAAGGCAAATCACTGTTAAGTAATCAGTTACTAATGACTTCTTGCCTGAATTTACCACACTGCTTGAAGACGACAGCAATTTACATGACTGCAGTTCTCATCCACAAAAGATGAAGAAAATTTTGACCCATTAGAGGAGGACTTGCCTTTTGTGACTCACGTCAAAACCAATTGTTCCCATCTAACTTTTGGTCACCAGCAAGTCTTTAAAACACTGCATTTCTGATTGCTCAAAGTCCAGCTTTGCTACTTCAGTTTTGTGAGCTCACATGTGGACCATAATAGAGAATCAATATGCTCTTGTACTTACAGCTCTCTTCTTTAAATGCATAGATATATTGCTTTAAAAAGAATATGCAACTGCCTGGAGCCAGAATGATTGTGCAATGATTTTATTTTGGTTTAGGAGATTGGGGGGGAGGGGGCCGGGAATTCCTCCTCCAAGACTTTACAAGCAAGTTCAGATCTGAGCAGGGACCACAACTTGGGACATCAAAATTCACCATGGTAACAAATTGAAAGTATATAATCAAAGAACTGTTACTTTCCAAAACCACACAGACCCATTTCCAATGGAAAGCTCAAAAGATAAAGTGAAAAATCAATATGGTCTTTTTTATTTTTAATTTTTAGTAATTCTGAGAAGATTAATTTTATCTTCAAAGCAGTTTTAAGGACAACAGAGAGACTGAGCTTTTAGGTAACCACATCAACCGTAATAAATGAAGCAAAGAAAATGGTTTTAATAAAAATAAACATTGTTTTAGTATTAAGGATCTGGAAGCTGAATTTGCAAAAAAAAAGAAGGCTGAATCTGTCAAAATCGGTGATCAAGAGCAAAAAAACCCTACACATTCCCTTCAGCAGCAGTGACTAGAAGTCATAATTGAACAAACACCCACAGACAACATGAGAGAATTTCTTCGGGAAGACCTTTACCAGCAACGTACTTGGGCTCACATGGACCAACAGACTTTCTAGCCTTTCATCAACTGCCAAGCAGTTAGAGATTGTGACTTCGGTTAGGAAAAAGGAAGCTAAGAAGATGTGACTGAAAAATCCTTGCAATACAGATGACAATAAAATTTTTAACAGAGTGACTATTCAAAATTCCTGAAGCTCAGCTAAACTCTGACAC